ATTATCGACCACCTACATCTCCATCATTAACTTCTTTATCTGCACGTGTTGATCCATATGGTGATACATATCGAACAAATGAATATAATACCCGTTCTGAACGATACGATATTCCACGTAAGTACTAATAGAAAAGAATTTTTCTTCTATTAATTCCATCCTGTTAGCTCATTTGTTATTTTTGTTCCCTAAACAACACATATATTCTTATCTTAATTACATCCAATCAATCATTATTTCGGTTCATTTCATCTACTATACATATATCAATACAATCGTTGAAATTATCAAAAGTTCTTTGTAGTTATTTTCAAGAAATAGATATAAATTTCTAAGATATATATATATACGTATATGATTAAATAACAAAAAACAATACAATCATTGGAAATTAAACAAACAAAAGAAATAAATATTTCGATATTGAGTATAAAAATAGAAGAATAGATAAACTTTCGAAATTGTTATTTATTTCCTTATATATATATATATCATAACAATCAAGCGAGAAAAAAAATCACTAATCCTTTAATTTATAGTAAATCGAAATAATACATCATCCCGTGATTATCCAATGGCATCATCTACTTATCGTAATGATTTGTATCGAAGTTCATCGAATGCTTCAATGCAATCATCATCATCAACATATATGACACGTGAACAATATCCATTAGATATTAACTATCATCCAGTATCTCAATCAAGAGATTATGAAAATGTATCAATGTCATCACGTACTTCATCGATGGATCATCGAGATGGTTTACCTCGAAATTCTCGTGATCGTAATCATAATGATTATCATTCATCTTATCAAGATCGTCCAAATTTAAAACGTTCAGGTTCAAGGTATAATGATAATGGACCAATACCTTCGAAACGATCTATGAGACGTTAAACATACAAATAAAAAAATTACTAGTTTTTTTCATTCTATTCGTTCGAAAACAGAAAAATTCTCGTTCTATCGAGCATTTTTATATATTAGATAAAGCAAGAAAACAATATATATTATGTCAAATAGATTAAATATCATTTCCATTATATGTATACACATTTTTATCTTTGTGTTTGTCTATCGTTTATGTATATTGTAAAACGTTTATTCATTTTTTTTTCTCTCATAAAAAAATTTCTTGGTTAATACATGAAAAAAAATATTATGTTAGTATTAGTAATACAAATAAGTAATATATCATCTTCACTTTGCTATTGAAAAGATACGATTTGATCTTTCATCGAAGGAATTAATATTTTTTCCATATTATCATACATGACAATTGGTAATTGATATTCATGGTAATCTAATATAGTTATCAGTAGCTTTAAAAACATGATTAATGATAAGTTTACTTTGGTGAAAGATGATTAGAAAATTGGAACTGTAATATTTCGTTTTCGAAAAATAAAAAATGTATACAAAGTTTTGTTGTATTTCTTCAATTAAAACACGTCAAAATATATTTTTTTCGTTTTTTGATAAATCTACTATACTATTCAATCGATTATATGTTATTATTACAATCAATTATGATATTATTTCAAACTGGTTTTTAACATTCAAGCGCAATGGTGTGTTAATTCATTTTCTTAATAATTCACAGGGGTTTTCCGACTTCAAAATATGGTGAAAATTTTTCATTTAGTATTGAAATTAATTAATCAGTAGACTTCTCAAGATTTCATGTACATATCTTGAAAGTATGAGTGTAGATAGATGTGAATAAGAAATAAATTAATTCTAAATAAAGAATTAAAATTCGAATTAGTACATACACTACCCAGACAAACAAAACTCAAAAAAACGGAGAAATACGGCGTAGAAATTTTGAAACTTTAACGAAAATATAAGCGGGAAAAGCGCACATTTTCACAATTTTTATCTCCGTTAGCTTTGTCTACTGTGATTAACGCGTTAAAACTCACAAAATAACGTATAAAACCACGTTGAATTCCGTATTTCAACGCAGTAGAACGCTTTCCAAAAAACTGCGTAGAAACGCGTTAAGAATTCGTAAAAACGGTGTATATACGAATTTTAAACGCGTTTTTACGCGATTTTTAAGAGGTCTTGTCTGTCTGGGTAGTCATGATTTCAATGATTTTTTTACAATGGATATCAAAACCTAGAAAACTACATGGATTAATATGAAAGTCTAATGTTGACAAATGTAACAATTATCTTTATTACAACACGACAGAATTAATTTTTAATGATATCTTTATTATTTATTGAAGAATTCCATTTTATGAAGATATTATAATTAATCAAGTTATATGATTTTATTTGATAACAAAATTATCTTTCAAACATTCAATAATTATACTTGAAGAAAGAAGATATATACTGGATTTTGTTTAAATCGATATTTTCATTTCATTACAGATATAAATTATAATATTCATTGAATTAACTAGTATTTCTGAGTGATTCTCTTAATTATCATATTGATCAGGTTTATTTTATGAAAAATCTTTCATCAGACAAATTACTTTTTTTGTCGATATTGATCTTTAATACTTCATTATATTCGATTATGCTTAGTAATTGAGATGTTTCAATACTTAAGTATAGTATTGATAAATTTGATATCAACATGCGATATGCGAGTTTAGGTAATTATCTAACCTCGTTGTCAAGTTTTCTTATAAGAATATAAATAAATCAACATATACATGTAAAATAAAATATTTTTTTTTAATATTCTTATATAATCTTGGCTTTTGATGATAAACTACAAATATGAATAGAGTAAATAATGGAAAACAAACTAATGTATATTGAATGAATCAACATCATCAAAAATAAATTATATTCGATTATTGATATTATGAAATAAATAATGCAAAATAAATATTTCTTTTTTTTTCGTTGTTGTTGTATTTTATATAATTATTTGAATAATGAATAAATATTTTTGATTTTTTCTTCTATTTTTTGATTTTAAATCATGGGAAAACATAGACATCGTGGTGGTGGCGGTGGCGGTGGTGGTGGCGATGGTGGTGGTGGAGGTGGTGGTCGCGGTGGCCGTGGTGGTGGCGGTCGCGGCGGTGGTCGTGGTGGTGGAAGTGCCGGTGGTGGTACTCAAAAACATGGAAAAATTTTGTATAATTCAGGCGAGGAACCAGCATTTATACGACAATTTAAACAACGTACAGGATATCAAGCACCAATAACAGCGGAAGAAAAAGTAAAATCTTATTTTTTCATTATTTTAGTCATGTTTTACTATAGCATAGAACAAATATCAATGACATAAATGATCCTAATGATCGACCACGTGATGGAGATTATCGAAAAGATGATGAAAAACCTCAGATTGTGCAATTAAATTCAAACGATTTAAGTAAAGAAGAAGTTGAACTTGAAATGACAAAAGCAAAAGAAGGTATTATATTGAATTTTAAAACTCCTCTCAAAGATCAGCATATTAAATCGTTCATAGAAGAAATCATTTATCTCATATGACATTTTCATAATTCACTTAAAAGACAATGATTAAACTTGTCAGATTTTTTTCCATTCTATTTTTATCCACAATTAGTGCGTAGTATATTCAACGATTATGGTTTTGATAGTGAAATCAGTACAGATTCATTTTTGTTTCTAAAGTCATTCTGAGCTCTAGTGCATAATATAAATTCTTTAATAAACAGTTTACTTTGCATAAATTGTATCCTAAGGTTACTTAGATGCTATTTTTGTAAAGTAGTTTCTACGTGTTAAGATGACATAAGATCAATCATGATAATAGCGTTTTCTAGAGTTTTAATATATTCATAACTAAAATTGAAAAAAAGAAGAATCTATATTAAAAATGTTATGACTTAATTAGTTTTTTTCTTTGTTTAAAGGAAAAGCTTTTTCCAGTAGAGTAACTCGTTCAACATTTTATCAACAAGTAAATATAGATAAGATAAATATAACTCAACAGGAAAAAATCACTTTAAATACTTCAATGTCACATTAGCAATGCTTTTTCCGTTTGAAAAATTTATTCCATTATAAAATTAAGATATCTAGGTCATAGTTGTTATTTCTAATATAACAGTATGATAAGATGTTATGCAGACTTAATCTTTCTATGTTTTGAAATGACAAAAATAATTTAAAGATAGAACTAATCATTTCGTTATATGTTTGAATATTATTGGTTTCTTATTACTATTCATAAAAGTAAAAAACTATGATATCTTGTTGAGGCTTCTATCAAATAATATTCCCCGAAATATGACATACTTAGCGAAACCTTTGTTTTCACGTTAGAAATAGTAGACTGTTGTTATTGAATCATCTACTGTTCATTAATTTGCATGCGAGATGAAATATTTTAATACTATGCGGAAGCCTCTATTGTAATACATAGTTATATATGTATGATGTTCGATAACATAAAAAGTGTATAATGAAAAGCACTTTGACAAATTGTGAAGCTAAAAATAATTATCATTAGACTTCCGGAAGAAATTTTTGAGAAGGTTTTTAATTAGTTTTTTTTTCCTAGAAAAATCAATTCTATTTTTACTTTTTTTTTGTAGCTGATGAAGAAAAAAAATGTATTGATCCTACTGGTCGTTTATTATTTCGTAAACCAAAAGAAAAATCTGATGAAAGTGATGTGTCTACCATCAAACCTGACATTATTAATATGGCTTCAACTAAAACAACAAAACGAAAAGCTCCAACAACAATAACAACTACTACACAAAACGACGAAAGTGATCATGGAATTTCGAATGAGAAAAAAAAGACTAAAACACAATTACTTTCATTTATGGATGAAAGTGGCTTTGATGGAGACGATTAATTCTTTCTTTCTGTAAATAAAATAGGAAAATTTGTTTCAATCTAATCTTTCATGTAATGTATAATAACTAACAATTACATTATAACAAAAATTCTTTTCATATAAATAATTATTCTCTCGTATTCAATTTTTCTAATTGAAGAATGTCTAGAATTATGTCGAACTGACTTTTCACTCTAATAAACAAAAGTCAGTTACATAGAAATAATTTTCAAATAGTAGTGTCTTATATGACATATGTTGCTATAGACTCATTTTTATGTCTTTGTATACAAATGTGATTAAGCAAATTTTCAAGGACTAATCTGGTATAAATATACTCCTTCTTTTTTTCTTTTTTCTTTTTGTCTGACTAACCTGAAAAACATTAGTTTTATATATATGCGTTATGATTATCATATAACATAGGAAATTTAATCAATGGAATGTTGATTCTCAATGTCGGACAACGAGTCTTTTTTTTGTTTGTATCCATCTGTTGTGTGTCAATCATACTTGTTCACAAGACAAGATCAAATTTCATCTTAGCGCGCGCGCGTATTTCTATGTATTTTCAACTGAATCAGATAAGAGTTCTACTATCTTTAAATCAATGTTATTTATATATCCATACACATGCATTGTCTGTCATCAAAGCTATCCAATCCAACACTTGTTTGTCCTTTCAGATGTATATATTTAACAATTCTATGATATATTTTCAAAGTGTTGATGCAATTCTCAGTCAGTTGTATTCTTGATCCCACTAAGGTGTTAATCGCGTGTGAACGTGGGAATAACGGAAAAGAAAAAAAAAAGAAGCATAAAGAGACATACATTTCTGTTACTGTTAAATACTGATAACATCCAACTTTTAGGTTGATCTATATATGATACTTATAAAAATGCTGTCAACATCGTCATTTACATCTTTTTTTCTTTATTCCTGACAAATAAATGAGTAACCCATTTTTCCCGTTATGTGTGTGTGTGTGTGTCTATTATTAAACATATGTTGAATGAAATACTCAGGTAAGTTACAATGCATATTTATATATAGAATATGATTATTATTCACTTTAAAAAATGCGTCATCTTTTTATAATACAGTTATTCTCATTTTTGACTCCCTCATATTTTATTCTTACTATTTCTTTGTCATTAAAAACGATATCGAATATGTGCTTTTGTATTCACTCTTTTTCAAGGTTAAATGCATATCATTCGACACTGATAACACTTTATTTTAGGACGAATATACGTGCTGAGTTTAGAGCATATGCTCCGGACATTTTATATCTAACGTCCTATGGCGTATATTTAATTTAAATATCTGCACATGATTTGATGGAAGTAAAGAACCACCTACAGACAAATATTCTTTTTCACTCTCTCTCTTTTCTTTGATGCGATTAAATAAGTTAATTGTTATCATTTTATATATATATTCAATATGTCATGAATCAGTACTGATATTGTCATATGAGGGTGTATATATATAGATATATTGAGTCATTATTGACGTATTCCAATAATCGAAAAATTTCGCAAGAAAATGAAATAAAAGAAAGGATAAAAAAGGTGTGTATGTGTGTCTATGATTCTATATAAAAATTTCATATTAATAATCGAGATTATTTGATATAAATACGATTCGTAATAATATGTTGTTTTTTTCTATTTTTTGATTGTTAGAATTGATAAAAAACAGTCAATGTACTAATCGATTAGATATTCAAGTGATTTTTTATTTTGAAAAATATTATTAGTCATGTATATTTCCTTTTTTTTCCCCTTTTACATTAATTTATTTGCGATGCAAACTTTAAGTTGCTAAATAAATACAGTCAAAATCAATACCGTACTCGCTTTTTTTCCTTTTTACGATTAGCTAACATAATAAAAGCAACAGTTTTAACAATAATCTTTAGTAGATAAAAAAATATGTAGGTCATTTGAGTTTTTTTTCTTTGTCTGAAGAAAAATTCCTTTTACATACTTATTTTCTAAATATTTACATGACAATATTTATGAGTACCCAAAAAAAATATTTCATTTTTTTATTCTTGTCATTTTTGTTTCATATTTATTGTTATTATTTGAAAGAATTTCATCCCTACTTGCCAAGATTTATTTAGCTAAACGAATTCTTTTCGTCTAAGAATAACAGACAAAACATACATCATTCATCAGTTGATAGACAGTTCTTTGTCTGGCTAGTTTAAACTTCGATTTGAACAACGTGTTCTTTTCATTCGATTTGTTATTATTTATTTGGAATAGGAAAAAAAAATAAGGCAACATCGTCATCTTGCTTCTCTATATTCGTATCTATCTATTCATATATATATATACATACACACATATATACATATATATATTCTTTGCTCCTACGCCTACTAGAACTGATTGTTTATTTTGTCCTAGACATCTCCTATATCACACGCGAATTAGTCTAATGATGGCAAAGATGTTTGCGCTTGTTCGTTTCTTCGTCATCTTTCTTTTATTTTAATTAAACCAATTGTTTGACGATGAATCTTCTTCTTCCGACGATGTTGTATGTACTCAAATGTATATATATATTCTTTTTCTCTACTTCTACGTTTGTCACAAAAGAAAGAACAACATATACTATTCGCCAATTTCTTTTGATGTCGTGCCAAATGAGAAAGAGGAAAAAAGAAAAAAAAAACTCCAACGCGCGATTATTAGTTCGCTAGTTTCATTCAACCATCATGTTGGATTTTTGCCAACGTATTATTACGCCGTTTCTTTCTCTTTTTCTTCGACCGTGCGCGCACAACTCATTCATAGACGTGCATACACACATACACTCTTTTCTTTTCTTTTTCTTTTTCTTTCCGCGAACGGTGATTGTTGTAGGCCGTGTCGGTTGGTAAGCAGCAGCAGCATCGTCGTTATTGTGTTTTTGTTGGATAGAGATATCTCGTTTTTTTTTCTTCTCTTCTCGTTTTCGATGAGAATAGAATATCCTCCGATTGCATGCGTACAACAAAAGAGACAAAAGAGAAAGAGAAAATGAGAGAAAAAAAAGAAAGAAAAAGAAAAGACAATGCATAGTGCTTTTTTTTCTTTCTCTCCCATTATCGCAACAAACATACACGCACACACATCATCATCTTATTCGTTTTTTTAGTCGATGAAATAAACATTTTCGTATTTGACATTTTAGATAAGCGTTTCTTTTGTCGAATTTCTACTATTCTTATTTTACAAACTATCAACATTATTATAATACAACAAAATCTTTCAAAACCAGCATCAATAAAACGATCACTTTTTTATCATTATGAGTACTCTTGTCCTTCCTCCCTCGTCTCATCATCATCATCATCATCATCATCCTCAACAATCTCAAACAACCATCCATACCCAACGTCCACAAACTAATACAATATCAAAAACCAAACCTCGATCAAGTAAGTTTAATTAATAATATCTAATTTTATCATCATATACAAAAGGCTAACCAGTACAACAAAGACAAGACAAGAGAAAGAGGGTATTGCGTTCATATTTTTCTTTAGTTAATAGGCTTGTCATCAATAGGGTTGAGAACGATACACGCCAGAAACACATCATTGATATATAACAGGTTCTTTTTTTTCGTCTTCGCATAATAAGATATACAGAACGAACAAGCAAGCGAAGTGGATAGGACAAAAGTACGGCTTATAATGTGTTATGTATCTTGTTTTACTGTATCCACTTTTGTACTGTTGATAAGATTAGATTGATAGTAACACTTGTTGGCTTCGATCCAACTAACTATATATTTATTTATTTATATTATTTTAGCTGCTGTTGATCCACTTCATGCAAGATATTTAATAGCTCATAAACTTGCATCTGGCGGATTCGGAGATGTTTATGCTGGTGTAAGAAAAAAAGATGGCATGCCAGTAGCATTGAAAGTCGTACCAAAAAAACGGATGCGTGAAATAAATACAGTAAGATATATATATATATATATTAGAACGAAAAACAAAAAAATATTTAATTATTAATTTTTTAGTCCGAAGGAAAATTACCACTTGAAGTTGCTCTATTACGTCGTGTTGCCAAAGTAAAAAATGTCATACATATGCTTGAATATTTTATACATAATGAACAACTTGTTATTGTACTTGAACGACCAGAACATTGTTGTGATTTATATGATTTTATTTGTGACCGTCCTGGCGGTCTTGATGAACGTTTAGCACGTGATTTTTTTAAACAAATTCTACAAATACTTAAAGATGTACATGCATGTGGAGTAAGTTAAATACAAAATGAATTTGTTTATTCTTATAAAAATCTTTTAAATTATTTTAGGTTCTTCATCGAGATATTAAAGATGAAAATTTTCTTGTTGATATGCGTACTGGACAATTATATTTAATTGATTTTGGTTCTGGTGCTTTATTAAATGATGGAATTTATACAGATTTTGAAGGTACGGCATGTTATGCAACTCCAGAATGGGTTACATGTCGACGATATTTTGGTTTACCACAAACAGTTTGGTCTTTAGGAATACTTTTATATGATTTAGTCTGTGGTGATATTCCATTTTCTGATGATTTAGCAATTATTAAATGTCAACCACAATTTCCAAGTCATCTTTCATCAGGTAAAAGAAACTAGAAGATTCTAAACGACCCGACATATATATATATATATATATATATAGATGACAAATTATCGTAAATGAGTAAAAGACATATATGTCTTGTTGTTAAGCATAAAAAAAACAAATTTGCTGAATGAGTAGTAGAACAGGATGACCTAATTAATAATATGTTTCTTTCATATTGAAAAATGTTTTTTTCCTATGGGCTTTCTTGTTAATGTATATACGGTGGTAATGAAAATGAAAAAAGAAAGAAAATGTCTTGTCACGCTATGAGTGAATATATCGGCGTAGTGTTTTTTAATTAATGAAACACATTGTAATTATATATATGGATTGATTTTAGAATGTGTACAATTAATTGAACAATGTTTATCTATAAGATCATCTGAACGACCGACATTAGATCAATGTTTACAATCTGAATGGTTAAAATTTGCATCAACTAGAGATTTATCGATATCATTCATATCTCGTCGTCGAATTGGTGGTGGTGGTGGTGGACATAATAATCATCATTATTTAAAAGACTCAAATTCGACGTCGAAATCGACGACGGGCAGTACTTCTTCTCGTGGTAATTCCTTGTAGTATCAACGTTTTCTTTTTTCGTATTCTTTTTTTCCGTCCGTCGTCTCAGTTCAATGATTTTTTGTTTCTATGCAAATGACGTGCATGTATATGCACAAATCTATTATGTACATCTTTTATTTCAACTTATAATCTCATTTATATTACAAGAAAAAACAACAACAACAACAATAATAATAACAATAACTAACATTATTTGTACAGACTAAATGCGCATTCATTCGGCTTTCTCTCTCTCTCTTTATTTTTTTAATATGTATCCTTTATTTTTTTTTCTTACTCTTGTGTCTCTCTTTACTGAATACAATGTAACAGTTATGTTATCGTTTCAAGGGAGATGAGTGGTATATATTCAAGTATATTTCTTTTTTTTTTGTTTCACTTAAAAGTGGTATGTACAAAGAGTACACATTGTATCATCGATTGCAATATTATTTTTTTTTTCTTCTCTTGTATAAAGTTTTTCTTAAGTGTGTGTATGATTTGTTGCACAGTGAGATCGCTCTTGAAACTCATGCGCTCTGCGTTTAAAAAAAACAGTGTGTATGACGATGATGATGATGATGATGATGATAAAATTTGTCTTCTTTTTTTTCTCTTGTTTGTTCATTCAACTGTTTGACTCTCTCTCTCTCTCTTTTCCTGCGTGTGTGTGAGTGTGTGTGTACATGAAAATTATTTAAAAAAAAAAAGGAAGAAAGAATCAAAACAACAGATTCATTTACAATGGAAAAAAAATAATATTTGTTTTCTACTCGAAATTTGTATGATACGCAATTTCACTTGTTGATAGTGAATCTTAAAAGAAAAGATTTATTGCCTTTAGAAAAAGATCGTTTAGGGTTCTTTTTTTGTTCGAAGATTTTGTTTAATGTTATAATAGAAATCGAAGAAGATGAAGAAGAGAATAGTGAATGAGCTGTACTTATGCAATAAGAGAAAGAAAAAAAAAGTAAATGCTGTCGAGGTAAAGTATGTCTGTCGGTAATAAACGAAATACGTTGGATAAGTTTTTGAAACGCAATTGATGTTATGCATTGGATAATTTCTTCTCAGACATAGTAGAAGTTAACCGGTATTATGAAGGATATTATTCTTTATCTGACATACAAAATGGACACGTGTCCTACCACCTGCATATCTGATTGTCTTATATACTAGACTTCTTAAGTTTCCATTGTGTACAGAAATAGATTGCATGTAACAATGGCCTTCATGTTTTTACAATAACGCAGTTTTAAGACTTGCATGCTGAGTTTATTTTGTCATAATCATTTTGTCAGATTCATGAATATTATGAGGATTTCCTTCTTCATTTCCATGTACTCTATAACCAACATATAAGATATGCATGTCCATCATCGTATTGTCTTTCCTTTTGCGCGAGACAGCTATTTACTTCTATTATAATATACGAAGAAACAATATAGGCAATGCCTGTATGAATAGTATATGTATATACATGTGCGTATGTATATATATAGTAAATATTCAACTCAACTTTAGATATGAGTAGATATCAATACATATCTCTTTTTTTCTCCTCTTATATCAACACATCTTTCTTTTCATATAACACATGATTAGAATGATATAGTGTTCATAAACGATTGTTCTTTTGAACTAAATTTTGTCAAGGATCTTCGGATATTATTCATATGTTTAATCATCGTTGATATATGTTTCTTCTTTTTTTTATTGATAAGATAATGATGTACAATATATATATATATAAAATGATGGATTGTGTTGAATCTTTTGTTCGACGTTCGATTATATTTAGTCAGATACTTTTACCATTTATTATTGTCAACGAATGAATACTTGGCCTTGATCGATTAATTTAGATAGGTAACAAAAGTAAAAAAGAAAGTGACTCTCAATGCACATGCTTTGTTTTTTGATATATTTTCATTGGCGTTTAGTTTTATCATACAAAACTAGTTTTATATACGTGTACGTGTATGTCATAACAGAAGAGAACGATAAAATAGATTGTTATTTTTTCATTGTTTGATAAAATCATGAATAATTCCCTTCATTTAGTGATAAAAGAATATGGAAAAATATGAAAATTTGATATGACATAGAGTGTATCTTATTTATATTTAGTATATTATTCTACTGTAAAGCAGAGAATAATTATCGATAATGATGGATAAAAGCATCAATTTCCATTTAAGATATGATAAATAAGTATAAATTGGGTCTGGATATTTAATAAGTTCTAATAATATAAAATATATGTCATGTTAAACTCTACAGAAAGTCTATGCTTCCATAGATTTGTTATGTAATACACTCAAGGTCTTACAGTCATTTCTCTAACAATCAATAATTCTATTATAGGCTTACCATGTCTAAGAATGCATTCTTTTAGAAGATCAATGAGTAAATAACGCAGCTGCATTTAATTTCTCTTTTTGTCAAAATATTTATAGGTTTTAATTGATATTTTATTACTTGTCAGACACCATCCGGTATATATGCCTTTTTTTTATAGGTTTATCTCTATAAAAAGATATTCTTATTAACCTACGGAAATAATTTTCATATCTTAGAAAATTATGGTGCAATCGACCTTCCTGATAATATATCAAAAATGTATTGTTTATATAGTTGTAATCGTTTTGTTCTTTTAGCATTTATATGATTAAACAGAAGCCTTATTATGTCTTAATATAGTATGTCAGTATCAGTTACTTAGGCTTGTTTGTTACCTTTTATTCTATTGTTAATATATTCATATTTATTTAAATTTTGATAATTGAAAAATATATTTGTGTACTCATTTCCCTTTATATGATATAGAGTAAAATCTGATAATATTAATTAGCACTCAAGTATTTTCAATGTTCTTTAAAAATGGAAATGCTTTTACTATAATACCTTGCGGAAATTATCTTTTCTATTTTAAGAAAATTGATTCATTTTTTTAAAGTATGATAAAAGTGTCGTGGAGTATGTGTCATACGATTTTATATTCTACAAAAAGAAAGTATAATGCTTCATTTACTCCAGACTGTTTATTTGAAATCAATCAATTTTTTTGCATATGACTGATCAACAAATTGCTCGAGAGAATGTAAGAATTTTTGCTTCTAAACATTTTCCATTAATAGATGCTATCTGATTTTGTTGATTAATGTGATTGGTTTTATTATTCAAGTGTTAACAATAAGCCATAACACAATAATCTATTTGTAATTTACTATTTTTCGAAATGCGTCAATCAAGCGCAATGACCTAATAATACATTTTCATCAAATGTTCCTACTCTAGGTTCTTCCGACAATCACTTCCACTTTGTAATTTTTAGTATATATGATAATTTTATTTCACGAATAAAAATATACATTAATGTTATTCACAATGATTGAATTCTTTTTTTTTTAAAAATAGAAATTATACATATTCTGGGAAAAATATTTAACTAAAAACAACAGATAAGAAGAGAAAAAAAGAATTTGAATTATTTTTTTAATCTAAAATTGCTTTCTTAAAAGCCAACACGTAAGCTTTACGAACAAAAATGTCAATTCCATTAGAGAAACTAACAGCTTTGCCCTTCAGTTTAAAATAGTATATTTATTTTTCTTTCCCACATCGAAAGCAAAGTTTAAAATAAGATTATTTTTTTCTAAATATAGATTTATTAAATAAGTCTAGATGATTTAAGATAATCAATAAGACAATGATATACAAATATATATGAATATGTACGATCAACAAATGACATTCGATATTCACGCATTACTTTTAACACGTTTGCTACACTTATTTTCTAGAATAAATAATTGAATTTCATAAATATAATCTCTATAAAATTTTATACTTTATTAAATGTAATACATTGAATCATTATATGAATAAGAATAAATATTCCAGTTCGACCAATACTAGAAAGAAATTTTACATTTCAAGTATTTATAATATAGTATTTTTACCCAGCTGTACAATGAACAAGACATGGATTTATTTCTCCATAATGACGTCGAAATGTATCAGCCATATTAATAAAATCTAAAGAATAAAATGAATATATTATTAACGAAAAGGGAAATTCTTTTACTAATAAATGAAAATGTATTTAATGGTAATTGTTTACTATTCCATGTTGTATATTGTAGATGAATAATTGTACGTGTTCGATGTTCATTAAGATCTTTCATACATAGTTGACGAATAGAAAAATCTGGTTGATTTTGTTCCGAAATAAATTTTATTTCAAATTCATCTGTTCGACATGTTTCATATTTAGTTCGAGGAAAATAATTTGTACATAATTGAATCTCATTACATCCAACAAGCATTATAATAACATGTATATGATAATCAAATACCATTCGCCAAAAATCAGATATAGTTGATGGTAATGGAAATTCAGTTGCTATATAAGATGAAATCGTATTTTCAATTCCAAACTAACAGAATAAGTTTTTAAAATATGAAAAAAAGAAATAAATTTTCAAACTTTTATATGAGATGCATTGATATAACCATTTGGATTATCTTTTGTTGGAGTTAATCGTACACGAGTATCATCATATGGAATAACATCTGTATAACGATTTCGACGAATATTTTCTGTTTGTCGTCCATCGTCATTTGAACTATTAAATCGGTAGAATGGAATTGAATCAAATTCATCATAAATTGCATTGCTTGAAATTTTAGATTCTAAATCTGCCAACTAAAAATAAACGTACAAAAATGACTATTTAGATGTTCGAATGAGCACTAAAATAATCATTTTATCTTTAGAAGTATATTCTAGTTATTGAACTCTCGTGCATGTTCTTTCATTTTGTACATAAAATAGAATAGATCAATTTTAATTTCATACCCATGAATCCGTTAATGCATCATTATGAATACTATTGAATGATATCGATGAAGATGAACGATATGTTTTGGAACTCTATATAGAAAAAAAAATTTCATATATTTTTTTCGTTTATTCATCTCCATAAGTATACTGATGAGGATTGGCTATTTTTTGTCGATACAGTTGTAGGAGAATGTTGAACTGGATTCTATGATAATTATTAAAAAAAAGAAGATTATAGAAAAAGAAATGAAAACACTTTACACATGTCATATTTATATGAGCGGATAAAGTACAACGAATATCCGAGTAAGTAATGTTATAATATGTACATATCAAAAATGAATCAGAATAAAAAATATTTCCTTCTGGTCAATGTAAAGAACGAAAAAAAGAAACGAGAGAAAAGTTCTTGTTCTCTATCGATAAAATAAAATTACAGAATGATCTTTATTTATAGTATGAATTTCAATTACATACATATGAATTTATTTGACAGGTAGGAATATAATTTATGTAATACTTCATATACGTGACCTTCAATAGAGGTAGTCATATTCAAAATATTGAACCATGTATAAGTTCGACCTCCAACAGAGCAGAGGCTCATATGGAGAGAATCTCTATTTTTATGTTTAACCTTCAATCCTCCATATTACATATAGTTACATTCTATTTTTTCGTTGTGAAAATGTTTATATATATGTATATACAAATAAACAATCTATTTATAATCATGTTTGTTATGACTGTATCAAGTTGAATTAAAAAAAGCATTATATGAATATCTATGTTCTTTATTTATTAGATTTAACGATATATTTCGTAAACGTAGTACATAAGCATGCATAGAATAATTGGACTTTATACGTTCAATCTAAGAAGTAATAAAACGGAAATTATCTATATCAGTATATAATACATCGAATAGTGAAAGATAGGAATACTATTAAATGTGCGAATGAGAAAAGAAAAGAAATTAGTTTATATTTCGCTTTCTAAGTCATTTTTTTTTAATGTTGTTCTTGCGTGTCAAACTAAAATATAAATAAAGCCAAGAATGAACAAAACGGAAACACAGAAAAGCATCATTATCATCATCACAATCTGAGAGAATAAAAACACATTGGACCTATCAAACAATGAAAGCATAACGAGAAAAGTATCTTTTTAAAGTTCATCATCAAAATGATCATTTTTGGTTGATTCTGAACGTGTGTCGGAATTTTCATCGCGTGTTGATGATAATGGTTCAGATGATGGACGTATATAAACACCAGCATCAACTTTCCAAAGGTTTTGACTATTAGCATATGAATAACAACTAATTTCCTTTTGACCATGTATAGGTCGACCAAATGTATCACCACTTAAATGAAGATATCTAAAGAAATAAAACATTTCAATATTTGTACTCGAAATCAGGACATAAACTGAACTCATAATACTTTCAAGGTTTATGTATATATCTGAATCGATAACTGGCTTAATCAAGTCTAACACTAATTGTTTGAATCAAAATTATTTGTAGATTTTAATTTAATCAACAGAACTTTGTTTTATAATATCAAAAGAGATTTCATCGATTATTTTTATGCTGGGATTTAGTTTTACATAGATATTTTTCGCTTTCTCTTGCATAAAAATTGAACACTTTTATAATCTTACTGTCCAGTAGAAACATGTTGTAATCGTATCGCATCTTTTCTTAACCAAAAATCATTTTTAGTTGTACAAACAACTTTCCATCGATCACCTTCATCACCAACACCATCTTCACCATAAGCTGAGACTTCTTGATTATTTGATAATGGTGATGTATACTTATGACTATGTAAATTTCTTCGAGTAGTTACATGAAATAAACGTATTATACTTTCACATTTTATTGGTGTTCTGAAATAATAAAAGAAATTAAACAATTCAGATAACAAACAAAACCATTTAAATACCCTCGTTCACAATCATTTCTTATATCACCACGAACTTGCCAATAACTATTCACATCATCTGCATTAGGTGTACCCGTAACAGACTAATAGACAAAAACAAATTTACATCTATTTCGAAATAAACTATTATTTTACTTGTTGTCCACTTCCTGAACCATATTTAACATCATGAGAATGAAGTCTATCTCCAGATTGTTGATTAACAAATTTAAATGTTGAACCACATGTCACAGCATCTTTATTACCCGAAGAAAATTTAAATAAGCAGATTAAAATTACGCATTGTATGAGAATATTCATGTTGAACATTATTCGAGTGTCAAATGAAAGACAAGAAAAAGAAGCAATATTACTGTGGAAATTCTCGATTGGTTCATAAAATACAATCAGTCAAAAATAATTTCTTGTCCTCAATTATGATGAATAATAAAAATTATATCTTAAAAAAATCTTCTTTTTTATTTTTTCTCAGAAAAATTTCAAAAAAAATTCCTCGCCATCTATCGTTAATATTATATCGTTATTCATAAATAGAAATTCTCCAATGAAATTATGTATGTAGTTTATCATCTATCTTTGCCACATCAATCAGTATTCAGTAGTTAATTTTTGTTTTGATAGGATGTTGTGTCTTTCGTCAACTATTTTCACATTCCTTGCTTTATTAGCTTTTGCTAAAGGTAGAATACATCTTTTATTTATTGTTTAAATAATTAATCTTATTTTAGGTGAAAACTGTGAATCACCACAGTTTAAAATAACTTCATATTCAACAAAAGATGCTCGTCTTACAGCTGAATCAGCAGCTCAAGTTGAAATAACAGTTAAATGCAAAAATGGAAAACAAGTTTGTTTTTAAGATTATTTTCTTTCGGAAACAAATATAAAAGATATTTCTAGCCAAGTACCCTTTATGCTGATATAAATGGACAAGTTGTACCATGTGCTCAATCAGCTGGATCACCTGGAAAATATTATGTACAGAATAAATCATTATAAAAATAAAGAAATGACTTAATCTTTTTTTTCTCTATAGCTCGGTGTATCTGCTGCTACACATAAACAATTAGCCAAAGGTCGTACATCGGTTAAATTATATGATGATGATACATATTCAACTTTACGTAAAGTAAGTTATTCGATAATTGAAAAAAAATGAATTATATGTAAAACTTGTTTATAGACACGAACTGATGATGCTGCTAAAGCAGTTAAACCATTTGGTGAAGTTGACTTCTATCATCCGGTATTAAAAGAAACTTTTTTTCTGTTGTAGTTATATTTTTTTGTTTCCTTGTTCATAGGGTGCAAGTTTTGGTCCATGGTTACCAAGTGAATTTATTGCTGTAATTGGTTTTGGACTCGTTTGGTGGGCTGCATATCGCGAACGATCGAAAATCCTTGCTTGAACAATCTGAACTTGACTTTTTCTCTTTTGTTATTCATTTTGTTTTTATTGTTCGTTCGTTTTATTCTTAGAACACAGAATCTATTAGTGTAAGGCCAGTGGTTTTTTTTTCTTCACTTGAGATTTCCGATATAAACATTTTATTGATTTAAAGTAAAATCTTAAAGAAATAATGAAAGATTCTAGATTGATTTTGTAAAATAAGAACTCGAACTGACATATATAATATGCTATAGATAAATTTTATCATCAATTAAAAGAAAGATATATGATACAATGTAAGTGTTCGATATTATTTACTATGAAATAGAAAACTAGAAGATACATATCGTTTGTTTCATATTATACCCAATTCTAGACATTAGATCGTCTGACTTCTATACATTGATTAATACCTTTCGTTTTTTCAGATGGATGCTAGTCGAAAAGCATTATTTCAATCGCCACATGTTCCATCAGCTGAACCAACATTAACAACATCGACGACAACAAATAATAATGCAATGATATTAAATACTATTGAATTAGAAAATGCAACACAATTTTATCATTCCGAAACAGAAAAAGAATTACATTCTCAACATTTACAAAAAATAAGAGAAAATATTCAAACATTAACAGCTGATGCATGGCTTTATCAAGATCCAGATAAATTAATTGGTTTTCAACGTGTAACTACTCATTAACAAATAAATGACTTCTTATATATGTTAGATATAATTCATTCATTTTTTCTTTGTTCTTTAATCTATTGTTAATAAAAAAAAATATTCGATTGGAATTTTTTTCTTTTATAGATTTTACAAAAAATGAATTTATTTAAACTAAGTGATGTTCTTCCACTTGTTAAGGATAAAGATTCATGTTTAGAATATAAACGTCAAACAATTCTTGTACCATTACCACCGAATCAAATAGGAAAAAGTAAATCAGGTATTAAAAGAATACTGGAAGAAAGTTCAAATGAACTTGCAAAAAAGTAATTTTTGTAAATGATTAAAATTTCAAATCTTTATAATTTTGTTTTCTCGATTAGATTGAATGGTTTTTTACTTGCAATTGGTAAAATTCATTTATTATCGGACGTAGGTCAAACATATCAAGATGAACCAACATTATGGGTACCTATTAAACTCAATTTTATTTTATTTGTACCTGAAAAAGGTAGACGTGTTCATGCTATTATATCAAAACTTGGAAAGAAACATATCGGTAAAGACTCAATTAAAAAAGAATCAATCTTGTTTTTCTTATTATTTATTATGTATTTTAGCTTGTTTAATACACAGTCGTTTCAATGCATCATTTCATCGTGATACAATACCACCTATTTATCATAATTTTGTATTCAAACTAGGACAACCTGTTGTTCTTGAAATAATTGAATGTGATGTTGTAGACAAAATTCTCGATATAAAAACTACACTCATAGAAGTGAACAAAACAGAAAAATCATGAATTGTTTTTGCAAATAAAATTCTTGTGTTTGTGTATGAATGTTTAAGTTCATATTAATTTCAGATCGATATTTATCTTTTTCAGATATTGATCAGTAATCTAGACCAAAAAAATCCTTCTATCAATGAAATCATGCATACTGGATGAGTCTCTTGAATCAATAATCAATATACTTTGCGTCAACAAGGTTCTTTCAAAGGTGAATAGCCTTACATAATAGAAATGAATATTGATAATAATCACCGAGGCAAAAGAACATTAAATAATGTTTTTTCTTTACGCTTATTTTCATAGTATACGCTAATCAGATTTTAAACAACATAAAGAAGATTATTATATAGATAAATTCATAATAATACTTATTAATCATGATAGTTAACCTTGTCCTTTCTTCACAGTATGAGGTATGGTAAGTACGTTACATTTTGTTTTTCTTCTACGTCATTTTCATCAGTGCAACTATGTACATAATAAAATAAACATGAAAGCAATCTCCAGACACATTTAGTTTCATCAGAGAGAGGTAACGATGTGAGGAAATTTGGCGTTGTCTCATTTTAGAAAGTATAGTTTTGAGAATGATTAATTAGTAATTACCTGAAAGAAAATGCATTAAGATATGACAACTTCTGACATTATGAGTCACATTAGGACATCTGGCAAAAAAAATAAAAAGAAAGAAAAAAGTACATACTAAAAGTCAAATTTTTTCACGTCTGTGTTTTTAGAAGAAAAGCAAACGAAAAATTATTTTTTCAACATGAATAAGAATATATGATAATCGAGCAAAAAACAAATGAGAGTATTTAATGGCATTTTCGGTATTAGTCTTACAAGAAATGATTATCAAATCGACTGTTTATCTAACTGTAACATATTTAATATTTTTAAAAGGTCTGACAAAAATAATTTTTTTGTTTTTTTAATTGTATTTTTATTGTGATTTGTTTTTCAGTTTCATATGGATATTTAGGATGTCCAAATAATTTAGTACCTTGCCGAAATAAAACGCATTGTATAGAAATTAAAGAAGTTTGTATTGATTATCATGATTGTGTTAATAATGATGGTGATGAAATATGTCTGTATTACTTTTGTATATAAAAAGATGTCTTTTTATTCATTAAGTATTTTTCTCTAGGCCATCATTTGCCAAAAAATTCAACTGATTCAATAGCATGTGTAACTCATATAGACCCTCAGGTTTCGTACGATCGTTTATCTCCTCATGATATATGCAATGGTCATCAAGATTGTTTCCTTAATGAAGACGAAGGCGGATGCAGTTTGTTGAATTAACTTATTTCGATAAATATAAATCAAATGAATTTTTACTTAAGATAAAACAATCTGTCAAGTTAATCATTGGTTATGTAAAAAAGGTTCATGTATCGAAAACTTTCTTGTTTGTGATGGGCAGAAAGATTGTCCAGATGGGAGTGATGAAGAGGAAGGTGTTGGTTGTCATCATTCTGTATGTGGACCAAATAAAATACATTGTCCAACCGGTCAATGTATTGATGAAGTCAAGGTTTAAAACAATTATTTACATATAACATTGTTTGATGATTAAAACTTTTTGTTTTTTCTTTTCGAAAGATGTGTGATGGAATTGCACATTGTTTAGATGGATTTGATGAGAAAAATTGTACACATACAACGTCAACAAGTACAGATATTTTCATATTATTTCCTGGATTTAAATATATTTTATTTTTAATATTAGTTGCATCTATACCGCAAGTAGATGATTCATGTCCAGAATTTACTTGTTCAACATCAGGAACATTTAATCACCCAATATGTCTATCAAATGATCGTGTTTGTGATGGATAGTAAGTTAATAAATGGTTTTAAGAAAATAAGAAGTCATTATCTTATTTATTTTCTAGTAAAGATTGTCCTGGAGGTGATGATGAGTATAATTGTCGTGATAAATGTACTTTAAAATCGAATTGTCCTACAAATTCTGATGTTAGTTGTATTCAACATCCAGCAGTTGGACAACTTTGTCGATGTGTTAAACAAGGTTATCGACTAACAACTAAAACACCGCAAAATAACATACCAATATGTCAAGGTTAGTTTCTGACCTTCTCTTTTACTTCCATATGATAAATAATTGTTTAATAAATCAGATTATGATGAATGTAATGATTCTCTTGGTACATATTGTTCATTTAAATGTACCAATACAGATGGTAGTTTTAATTGTACATGTCCATCAAATTTTACATTTGATAAAGTAACAAAAACATGTCAGAGAAGCAATGGTTCGTTATTTTCTTATTTTTTCGAAAAATAATAATTAGCAAAATCTTTAAATAGATCAATCAAAACCAAATTTATTAATTTTATCTGATAGAACCATTACTTTCTATAATATTTTGGCTTCTACTGAACAGTATTCATCACAACAAGTAAATACAATAAACATTGATAAAAATCATCATTTTGATTATATACAATATGATCATAAACAAATGTTCGTTATCTATTATGATCACATTCAACATGCTATTTTATGGTTAATTTCTTTCTTTGTTTTTTTCTCTATAAAAATTAGTAAAATTATTTTGAATTTTAGTAAATCAAATCGTGATTTAAAAACTATAGTATTACTTACGAATCTCACAGTTAATGCTTTTGCATATAATGCAAATGAAAAAACTCTCTTTATTATTGAGAATCAATCAAAAACATTACGTATGTATACATCAATTGTTTGTGATGTATCAATTAATATCCCAATGCATTCTTGGTCATTGAATGATAACGCTAATTCAATTCATTCAATGGAAATTGATGTTTATAACAGACAACTTATATTTGCTTCAAATTCTCAATTTATGATATCAAATATGTCCGAACCAAATGTAATAAAAATAGTACATAAGACAGATCGAGAAATCAAAAGATTTATCTACGGTATGAATATATATACATTAAGATATTTTGCTCATACGAATGTTTTGATATATCTTAGATACTGCATTTCAACGAATATTTTGGACAGCAAATAATATCGACAGTAATGGACTATCTCCTGTTTTTACTTGTAATGGTGAATTTAAACAGTGTCATGATACATCAATACGTATACCATCTGCATCATTATTTGCATTTTTTAATGTATGTAACTATCTATTTATTTTTAAAAACGTCTCTTTTTGTCTAAATTGATAATTTAGGATGGTTTGCTTTATATTCCATCATCAAAAAAATCGTTAGATTTTATTCGAATTTATGGAAAAAATCGTTTTTCGGGAGAGTCTATCACATCGACACATGATCAAATTCGTTCATTTGTTTTTATCGATAATCAACAAACTGAGGGGTCCGATCTCTGTATGAAATATTCAACAGCACGTTGTAAAAACTATCAACTTTGTTTACAAATAAATTCAATCAATATGACTTGTTTATCAATTGATGGAAGCTTTGTATCAAAGCAAGCAACAACAGATACCGATAATTCAATGTTACAAGATGCATTGAAATTATCAGCAGGCGATAACTCTATTTCTCCGTTGGCAAGTCAACAGAAAACACATCGATACAGACCATCAAATGCTATACTTATCGGTATTATTACTCTTGGTATTTTAGTAACTGTAAGTCAACTTTTTTGATAAGAAAATTAATTTACTCTCTTTTTTCTTTGAAAAGATATTGGCATTTTTTGTTAAACGTTGTCATAATCGTTTTATTCAAAAAGCATCAAGAGACGAACAAAGTCAAAATGAACGACGTTTAATAATAGATCCAAGTTTAGATGAGTTTACTATAGTAACTGATGATAGGGTGAGCAAAAAACATATTGATTATGCTCGAGATATTTTAGTTGAAAATCCAAGCTTTCTACTTCTTGGACGTCGAAGAGATTCTATTTAACTATGAATTAATTTTATTTTCTATTTTTTCTTTATAGCACGGTGATCGGCTCCCATTAAACAATCAACTGTCTTACTAATTTTACACAAAAAAAAGAGCTCAATTGTTCTACTAACAAAAAGACAACACATAGCTTCTGCATTTTTCATCAGGAATATCTCTTTGTTTCGTTCATTTCTTTTAGAGTACATTCCATGTCTAGTTATTTTCTTCAGATCCTATTTTTTAATGCTTATTAACGTTCAGAGCATGCGTTTTTTTTCCTTTGTTACACTTTATTTCTTATTTTGTTTTCTTGTAGCGCAACAACCTGTTTCATATCTGCCATGACACCATTTTATTATTTTTTGTTATTATTGATACACCTTGTTTAAGTTTTTAAGTAAAAGCTTTTGATTGTCATATTATGATTTTTGGGTTGGTTGTAGCTTGGCCGAAAGGAGCAATGTCGAAAGACAAATATGAAATAAGCAGAATATTGAAGCGGCAAACTATCGTGCATTGTGATATCTCTAATGATGTGCTATATTAAGCATCCATTTGTGATCAGTAATAGCAGTGGTAAGTAATATTATGTAGATCATTCAAAAGAACTATTGTATAATAGAATTCTTTTGTCATGATCGAACTTGCAAAATCTTCATCAGATCTCATTCAATCTCCTCCTTCAGTTATTTCATTTATCCAGTCACGAGTAGGAAATTCAATGATTCTAATAAACGAACATACTTTCACGAAATATTATGACTCTTTTCATTCCGACAAAATATTTAGATGGATTACATAATACAAAACGTGTCTGATTATTCATCATATTCTGAAACAAATTTCTCATGTAGACATATATATTTCGACATTTTTCCCCTCGACATTTATTCCCACTGAATTTCTGACATTTTTCCTTTCGAGCAAACTACGCCAACTGATTTTTGGATTTGATGTGGAGAGAAAGGTATTATATATTTAAGAAAAGCAATCGTAAGTCATGATCATTTGTAATAACGATAGAAATAATTTTTGGTCTTATTGAATATTGTCAATTGATGAAGAATTATTAAGAAAATGTGAGTGAAGTATTCACTTTATGTTATAAGATTATGTTCTAATATCATTAATATACAGTGGAATTCATAGACGAATGAATTATATGATTTATTTAGCAAATATGATACTGAAAAAACTATTTTCAATACTTTAGAGAATGTTCTTTGATATATATTTTGTTTTTGTTGTAAACTCTCAAATGGTTTTATAGAGTAGTTGAATTCAACTGTCGAATATTATATGCATGACATGATTCAACAAATACTCTCATAAACTTTTTATTTCGTTTGAGAACTTATTATTAATAACAACTTCTCATAGTTACGTTAGACAATGAAGTGACATATCTAATTTCTTCGTTGCTGCGGTTTTCTTTTGTTGAAAAGTATTGCTTTTCATCAACATAAAATATAAAGATCTCAATCTATTTGCTTTTTGAAGACTATTCTCTTATAGTTTTATGAACTTATTCAGTATTTAGGATGGATACTGATTAAGGATGTAATCTACATCTTGAGAGTGTGGATGCTAGTTGATCAAGATACTCTCATATCCACATTCTCGATTAGCAATGATGGTTATGCGTAACGTTTCAAACTAGCCATGGGAATTTTCATATTATTATTTCCGTCCATGTAGGAAGTAGGCAAAGTTGTTTCTTTGTATACTATATTTGAATATAACGGTGTGTCTTTAACGGTTTTATTTCATTTAAATACGTAACGGTTACTTCTTCCTTTGATCTGTTCTTAATTAAGGTATAACGGCTGATGATATATATATATATATATAAAAGCAACCTGTTCTTTTCATTATTCTCCCATCATTTATATTTCGACTAGTCATGTTTCATTTTCAACAATCAACAATAACTTCTCCAAATGTTACCTCTACATTGCAAGTAAGTTTTTCGTTTTATTATCAAAAGATTATATGAACAGAAAACTTGTAGAAAATACATCCAGCACCAATGCGTCTTTGGATTTCAAATATTCCATATTATTGGTCAACTATTGAACTTGAAAAGATATTTTCGGTAAGTTTTGTTCATTAACTTCTTTTTTTCTAATTATATATTTATCTATTTAATGATGAATAGACATTTGGTCAAGTCTATGATGTTGAAATACCATTACGAAATGGTCTATCACGAGGTTATGGATTTGTAACTTTTGAAAAGTATGTATTCATATTCATTTTTTAATAATCAACTAGAAAAATAATTCTTATAGACAAGCTGATGCAATCCGAGCTATTCAATCAATGGATGGACAAATAGTCAATGGTCGTAGTATGCAAGTAAGCGAAAGAATTATTTTTTTGGTTTATTTAATAAGATTATTATTTGAAGGTATATCAAGCACATGTAAAACAAAAATCATTACTAAAATCATATTTTCTTATTCAATCAGTTGATCGAACATTATTTGGTGGATACTGTTATTGTCAATCATGTTCAATAAATCGAATTAATTATGGTGAAACACATTAATCTGAATGATGAGATTTATTTTTCGTTTGTAGATATTTATTATTGTTTTATTGTACAGTGAACATATTCCGTTTTTGTTTCTATTGTCAAAACGTGAAAATATTTTATCTTATGCTTGTTTTTTTGCATGTTAACCAAGATGAAGACTTGTACTTGCTTACGTTATTGTTACTAAGAAAATAAAGAAAAGAAAAGTACTGTAAATTATTTCTAACAGAAATAAAAAGAGAGGGGACAGGTGAAATAGGTTAAAATTCGTATTAAGTTCTACACTACTAGAAAAAAGATATATTTTTATGACCATTACCACGTTGTTTACTTGAAAGGAGAATTAATATTGAAAATCAAAAGTTTGCTTTGCAGAAACCCGAATTGTAAAGTCGATATTTAATTCAAGTTCATTTTTCATCATCTGATCTTGAAATTCATCTGTCAGTTATTTCAATAACAAATAGATTTTCAAGCAAAAGATTTGGTTTCAAAATAAATACTTTACACTCGTTTTTCTTTTGTCATATAAGAAACGAAATCAGATTTCTGATCATTTGAAGAAATAACAAACGAGAATCATCATGTCTACTCTCAATAACTATACAACACGACAAGCTGTAAGCTTATGAAAATATCTTTTAAAACTTCTCTCTAGATATGTATATCATTCTATAGGCTTCAATTGGTCTTCAACCAGGTAATTTAATTGGTGAAACACATTATATAACTGAAAGTCAAATAACTCCACCGATAAAACAACGTATTCGAAGTAAAAAACTTTTAAGCGTAAGAAACAAAATTCTTCTAATAAAATTTCTCTAATGATTTTTTTCCGCTGAATAGACAAATATAAGTCGATGTCAATGCTGTTGTCCACCAATTGCATCATCTTTATGTCGTTCATGTTTATGTCCTTGTTGGGCATATTTACTTATTGGTCTTCTTTTAACATTACTTCTTGCTGCTTTAGCTGTTGAACTTGGTTTTCTTGCTAGTAAGATTTCTTAATTTAATCTTCTTTTTTTTGCAACTAATATTTATATGTTAAAGGAGAAAAAATTATTAATCGAAGCATAAGATGTACAGATGTATTAAATGTCACTCTTTATTTAAATGAAACTGGAGGATCAACAATACAACCTAGTTCAACTTCAAAAAGTATCCCGGAATGTCCACCTACTGGAGAGATAGTTTCATCTGGAACATCTATGTGGGCATCTTTTACTTACATATTTTTTATTATCAATCTGATCATTTATTTAATAAAAAATTGAATGAACCTATTTGACTAAATATATGAACATTTATAACATTTATTATAATTTTCTTTTTTGAACTAAATAAAATTATTTTTTAACTTGAATTGCATTCAACAGATGGCGCTAGTCTCAAAAAATAGTATGAAGATATCGTTAAATTATCTATCAGAAATTCATAGATTTGTCATCTTAATTTTCAGAATCAATATCGTAATTAGTTTCATTACAAAATAATGCATTCGATTTTTTTTGTTGCTTAGTTACAAAAAACAAATGCCTTTTATGTATTATGTCTGTCAGTTGTTGTTATTTTTATCAATTTCTATAACAATTATTTCAACATGCTTAAGACAAGCGCATTCAGCCACCCTTATCGTCCTCATACATTAATCTATAATTGGCAAGAAGAACGAGCTGATGTAAAAAATGAGCGAGTTCAAAAACCACTTCCATCCCAAGTGAATTTTGTTCAATACAATTCATTTATTTTATCGTAAAAATTATTTCTTTGTAGTATGATAGTTATTTTTCAACAACATATGAAAGTAGTTTTGGAACTAATCGAGGGGAACCACCTCGACCTGAAGTTCGTAATCTTCAACGTAAGTTTTCTTTTAAAATTCATCAATTATTTAAAAAAAAACTTTCCTTTTAGTTCCTCGTAGTTATGCATTTCCTGGACATCAACCCGAATTTGATTTTCCTGAAATGAAAGAATCAGTTAATACATATTTAACTGAATATCGTGCTGGTTATTGTCGTAATTGTCAACGTGCACTTGCACCTAATGATCCAGCATGGTCAACAACAACAAAAGTTTGTTTGCATTGTAAAGATCGTACATATACAATTGATCCTAAACCTGAACCATATACAGTTACCGTTGATTATCCTCAAAACCCAGCAGCTAAAGATCGATGTCTTGCTTGCATGGAAATTAGTACTGGTGTTAAACTAATTAAATAAAAATACCGAACTTTATTTTATACATTTTCTCTTTTCGAAATAAAATATTCATATATTTTTTTTATCAGTTTCAGATTACTAGAAATTTCAGAAAGATGGAGGCAACTGAACAAGATCTTCTCGCTACACAAAAGGCGCTCGAAGAAGAGGTGCAAAATAAAGTCAAACTAGCTGTTGTCGATAATTTTCTTCGAGTAAATATTATAGAAATTTCAATGATTTTATCAATATTCAATATTTTGTAGGAAAAATTAACTCGTGAAGAAAGATTTACTGAACGAAATACATTTAAATTAAATACACAATGGCTCGCCGTTATGCGAGCAGCTAAATCGAAAGAATTAAAAAAAGAAATCGAAATTTTATCACAAACATTCGGGCGAATTATTGATCGAAAAGATACAGTCATTAAATCATCATTAGCAGATATCGATGAAGCTGAAGAACAATATAGCATGGCATTACGAAGTTTTCTTGAATCCATTGAAAAAATGATTCGTAAGATAAATAAATGTTTCATAGAATTAATTACACAAGAAATTTATTTAGGTATGCATACATTAACAATTGATAAATTACTTGATCAATATGAAAAAGATGTTGAACAAGTGAAATTTGAATTTCTTGATGAACGTAAAAAAATCATTCAAGATCAAGATACTTCAGTGACTGAATTACAAAATATTATTTATAATATGGAAAAAACTTTTCTCGATACGGAAACAACAGCTGAACAAAATTTTCAAGCCAATATGGAAGAATTACGAGATCGAGTTTGTAGATTTTATATAAAAAACTTAATTCTATTTTTTTTACTTTTTCAAGTATCGTGAAGACATACAGCAATATCAATTAGATGTTGAAAACCGTTTAACAGCATTACAAAATGAAACAACAAGTATAACAGATACTTATAAAGAACGAATAAAAGAAAGTAAAGCACAATATCAAGAATATAAGATGAAAGATGAAAAAAATTCAAAAGAAATTCGTGAAGCAACAATTTACATTAATCGAATGACTGTAAATAATATTCTTATGAAAATGAATATAATCGAGTATTTTTAGGATAAAATTAATAATCTCAAAGCTCAAATTGCTAATCTTGAAGCGACACATCAAGCGCGAATGCAACGTGTTGGACAGGTAATTTGTTATAGAAATACAACAGATGAATCGAAAGTTTTTTGTTTTTAGGAAAAAGATAGTATGAAACAATATTTACTTAAATTAAAACTTCAATTATCAGAAATGCAAGAAGAATTACATCGACGATTGATAAAACTCGCTACAACATGTGATTCAACTGAGAAAAAACTTGAAAAACGTGTTAAAATAGCTGAAACCATTTTAACATTTTCCGAAATGTGTCGTAAATTAGAATCCGAAGAAGAAAAAATTCTTCCATTTTATGCATCAACATTAACTAACGAAGAACGTGCTGAAGTTGAAGCCGCTTTTTACGAACAACCATTTGAAGAATTAGCTAAAGTATAATTTTCATATATATTTATCTAATTTCATTTTATTAATTTTTCTCTTGAAGGATATGTATACATATGATGCATTAGATACATTCTGGAAACGATTTAGTAAAGTATCATTAGATAAATTATCTTTAGAAAAAGAACGAAGTATTTTACAATCAGAAAATATGCAGTTGAAAATGTTATTAAAACAATATCTTGATGGTATATCAGTTAATGATGAAATTATGAATCAAACTAATCCATTGATGATTTATTCATCAAGACGTATTCTTGAGTATGTACTTCGACTATTATTTCTTATAAATATATACATATTTGTTTTAATTTAAATAGAGGTCAAACTGGAACAAAACAAATATCAAATTCTCGACCAATTAAAGTTGTTATTGAGGCTCAGCATGTGAAAAGTGCCTTTTGATAGTTTCTATCTGATTTTGTATGTCTTTTTCTTTTCCATATACATATTGTGTAGTATGTCTTTCTGAAATCTTTACTTATTTTCTAAAATAAACATAATACAATTGATTATTTTAATTATCTCGTTTTATTAATATATTCGATTATCAAAGTAGAGAAACAAATCTTGAATAATATCAAACAAGTTTTTGTTGCAAAGATTTTTTGTATTCTTTATACAATTGTATTTCTTCATCATTTTCATTTCTTGTTAAAAGCAAATGTTTTATTGCCTTTTCAATTGTTTCGATAGCTTCTTCCAATCGTTTTAAACCTTCTAATACAGTTGCCATATTACAATAAGTTAAAGCGATAGTTGGATGATTTGATGAATGTAATTTAAGTTCGATTGCAAGACATTTCTGATAATTTTGTAATGCTTTATTATATTTTTGTAGTCGAAATTGAGCTCCAGCAAGATTATGATATTTAGTAGATAATTGTATATCGTCTCTGTTTGGACAGAGTCGTTTTCGAATCTGTAAATCACGTTGAAGATATGGAATTGCATCTTCATATTTGCCTTGTTCTACAAGTACACAGGCAATATTACAAGCGTATGCAGCAATTGCATATGGATCAAAGTTTGAATAGTGTACTTGTATATCATATGCTTTCTTATGAAAATGAAATGCTTGTTCATATAATCCTTGTCGATGATAGATACTTCCCATATTATTATAAGTCGTTGTTAATTTAATGTCATCCGATGATAAAACACGTAAATACGCTTTAAGAGATATCTGTAAGTGTTCAAGTGCATGATCATATTGTTTTTTTTCATAATAGAAACAACAAAGCATATGAAATAATCCAGCAACAGTTGAATTTGCTGCTTCATCGTTTATGATTAATGGATGATTTACTAAGATATTACAGAAATATTCTGTATATTGTATATTTTTCATTTGTTTCATTAGTTTGGTTATACGAAATAATGGAAAAGGGCCATAAGTGTTCTCTTGTACACTTTTTGTTATCTGTTGTACTGTATTTAATATATCATTATCCAACGTTAATTTTATAATTATTACTTCTTTATCCATTCGTTTGATAGATGAGATGCGAAATACAGTTCCAAAAGTTATGAGTATATTCTCAGGATTCGTTTTGATTTCCATCATAGGAATCGTTTTATTCAATTCTATTTCAAATCGAACTAATTTCATATCAGTATTAATAGGCTGCTGTGCCTCAACTTCAGTTTTATATGTCATGAGAAATCCATTAAATGTAAGCAAACCATTTTGCTTTTTTGATATTGAATCAATATCATCAGTGGATATATATTGAGTTCGATAAACAGTCATTGGTGTTGTCGAAAGATTTGATTTCAATTGTTGATGAAGATGTTGGATAAAAAAACGAAGTTGAAAGAGAATGTCCGGTTCTAACATTCGAAATGCTCGTGTAAGCATTTTGAATAGAAAAGTTTCTTGACGTGAAAACCATGCAATAGCTTGATCAGGTAGAAAATGATATTCAAATTCATCAATAAATCTCAATTGTATTTCATTACCAATATACTGTTGACGACAAAATTCTAACATATCTTTTTTCAAATCAGTTGTTTCATCGATTTCTAAGAGTATATCTTTCAGTACTTGTGTATAAGCAAAAGTACTATTATTAATATCGTCATCATCAGAGTATGACACGATCTTAGTAAGATCGGATGTGCATAACAATATATCTTTTTCTAGTTGACTACATACACAGGATATATTAGCATGAATACCTTGAATTTTCCTGGAATCATATGATAAATCTTTATCATTATCGACAACGTAAATAAAACGAATTTGTGAAAAATTCTGTAAATTTCTATCGAGATTTTTTACACTTGTTCGGGATAAAATCATAATGATTTGTTCATCGATAACTTGACTAACATATTCGATACATGTTTTGTCATTAATATTATTAAACGTTAATCCAAAATTTATAACACCACGTAGTTTTGTTAAATCATCATCAGAGATTTGTAAAGTACCATCAAGAATATAAATAAAACTTTCTACGTTTTTTTCATGACGCATTACATTGATTGATTGAATTGGATGTGTGTGTATTTGTAATTCTAAACAGATAAACATTACAATTATAGATAAAACTTGTTTCAAGGGATTCTCGAAAAGATTTATTTTGTGTAAAAATAAGATACATACGTTGTGATGAACTAGGTGAATGCATCTGACAGGTATTCTCTGTATTTGTGATACCAGGACTATAAGTCGATCTAGGAATATCCAATGGATCAGCTTCTATTTGATCCACCCATTCTTGAATCACTCGATGCTGTTGTGATGGTGTTGGTGATATTTTCTCTTCTATATGAACAAATAGTTTTATTTGGAAGAATCCTTATAACAAATTTTTTTTACCAAGAAAATCAGTGCTATGTCTAGCTGTGTTTTCTGGAACAAGCGATGAGCAGACGGAATTTGTTTGCATCCTTTGTGTAGATGGTTCTTCTTCATGTACCAATGCTAATTCTAAGAGACTGAAGCCAACTACTTCTGATTTGTCTATACATAAATATATCGTTCTAGTTTTTTATAATAGTAATTTTTTATGATAATAAATTTTACCTGTAGTTCTTTGTTTATATCCTTCAGGTAGTTCACTCTTCTTTTCTTTAACTAAAAAAAAGCATTTTTCAAGAATGAAATGGTTTGTTTAACTCGATAGATATATTACTTACTATTGTCACTCATTGGATTCATTGTCGTTGAATGTCTTCTATGTTTTACTATCTGTAATACAATATAATATAGATATCTATGTTATTTGAAAAAGAAATAGAATAAGTTACTTTTTTATTTCTATGATTTTGTTTTGAATCTAAGTCTCGTTTCTCATGATTACCAACTGTAAATATAAAAATACATGAATTTCTTCATCTAATAAACACTTTCGTTTTACCTGAAGAGTTTGGTGTTGGTGTTAAATAACGTCGATTTTCTTTATGATGGGACTGTGAATTTTGTCTCTTTAATTAACAATACTACTATTGATTTTTATATTTGTGATCTTTTTTTCACTTACATTATTCGATGATAGTGTTTTCTGAGCATATTTTTTACGACATCTAAAAAATATAATATAGTTATCTAATGTATATCTATATAATAAGTATTTCACTTACTTCTCACATGGAATGGCATTTTGAACTCGCACAACTGAGAATTGACTGTATTCATTAATATGTTGATTTCTTCTACAATATCCAAATTCACAACAATCATTTACTATACTATCAATAAATCCTTTGCAATAGAAAGCCAATGCGAAAGCTGATGTGGGTCGTCGTTGAGATTTAAATGAGAAGGATTCTGGAAAATATACATTATGAAATAACTATATTAATGACGATACTTACCGCCTTCAGTTAAAAAACCTCTATAAATAACTAAGTTTTTGCCAGTACTAAGCTGTTGCAAGACAATAATTTCATTACGAGCAGGTTTTGCAGAATTAACAATACTCCGTGTTCCATACGACATTGTTATTTCGCATGTATGGGGTTCTGAAGAAGAACGTACATCGACTTTATCGAACTAAAATAAATTATTTTCTTTGATAACGATTATATTCTAAAATATACTATCTGATAGACTTACTCGCTCAATATGATTTTGTTTTTGTTCAGGTTCAGTTAAATCTTTGTTATCTTCTAATTTTCTACTACGTGCAGAAGTTACTCGGGATTGTCGTTCACCATTATTTTCTACTTTCTAAAATTTATTTAATTCGTTTTCTCTATTCATAATATTATTTACTTACCGATGAATAAACGGGAATACTTTTTTCACAAGATTTTTCATTTTCGTGTGCTTGTTTTCTATGTCGTCTACCGAGAATCTTTACAGAAGAATATTCAACATACTATAATTCTTTTTTTATTCTAACCTCAAAACTATTATAAGTAGCACGACGTGAAGCAATCTCAACTTGATGATAATGATTGAGTCGATTATTTTGATCATTTTTGAAAGCACTAAAATCTATATCAATAAACAAACAAAAGTGTAAAAAGGAATAACAAACCGTAAAATAGTTTCCGGTGTTACTGCTTCTTGTCGTCGACGCTTCTGAGAAGGCAGACTACGCAAATAATCATAACTCGAAGCAACCTGACCACGACGATTTATCTATGTATCAAAAGAAAAATTATTTGAGAGATCTCTAAGCAAATCAGTCTTTAAACAGAAACTTTAAGCTATTATTTTATACCAGTTTTGCATAATGAAGTTGAGGTTGTATGTATGGTGATGTAATGACTGCTTGAAGGCGAGAATCAATTTTATTTGAAAATGGTCTGTAATAAAAGTTTTATATAACGTCTTTAAAATATTATTGATCTACAATGTATTAAACCTACCGTGTTACAAATCGATCTTCCATCATTCAGTTTATTCTATACTATTACTTTGTTGTATTTTTAATGTATGTATGCTTTTAGCTAACGTAAGTAAGATTAAAAAATTAAAATATGTTTGTACAACAATGCCTATAAGTGAATGCTAACATTTACATGTTTCTAATGATTTTTATATATAATGTATTATAGAACAAAAACAGAATCGTCTGCAAACTTATGTAAGTAAACAATAGAATTATTTTAGCAAGTTTTAGCAAAATAATTCTTTTTTTGTACGTTCGATGAATGAGAACGGGTGGTAAAATATTTGAAAAAACGCAGTGTATGAATAAAATATTACTTATTAAATAAAGAATAAATAAAAAAAGAAAAGTAGAACATTCGTTGGCTATGATTTATTGAGATGTAAAAAAAGAAAAAAAATCAAAAGAGTAAAAATAATCTCTCGTGTCATTTCTTAAGTAAAAAAATTTTTTCGTGGACTTTTATCAACTTTTTTTATTTAATATATTCTAGTGTAAAATCACATGTAGTTTCATTAAGTTGTTCATCAATACATTCACACGAACTATACTTCTATAGTTCAATCGTAGACAAATGTATTGAATAATGTTTTTGTTAAAAATAACGGATAAAACGAATATAAAAGTTTTCGAAAAAAAGAAAGAAAATGTTTTATTTTGTAAGGATTCTATTTATTTATGAATTGTATTATAAAAAAAAGTAAATGCTTGCATTTATCTATATATAATATTAATTAATTTCAGTCTTTCAAACGACTGTATCTATAACTTAGAATGTGCCCATATGCAGACATGCGTGTCATCTTTAATTTAATAATTTTTAAAATAAGATAATGATCTAACATATATGATACTACTGTTTCCGTGCATGAGTATTTTTCATTTTTATAATAGATATTTGGAAAAGCATAACTTATTCTGTTGATTCAATAGAAAGGCGGTATTTATCTTTCTTTTCATAGTGATGAGAGTCTAATAATCAATATTAGTTCATACTTCAAAAGGAATCGTGAATTAATAAAAGCAATATCTGAAATGTAATGGACCCTTCATACTAAGAATAAGCCACAGTATAAATAATTTAAATAGAGCAAATCATATTCATTCATCAATCGTTGCATTTTTTTGTAAGATCCAACTTTTGAGGCTAGAATGAAGATTGTTCATATCTATATACAAATTTTGTAGAGGACCTTTTGCTGCTTCGTTTACTCATGAAAATATATTTATTATTTGAATCGAGTCACAACTTCTAGCTAGTTATCCAATAGATGTCACTTATTTCTTTCGCTATGCAGAAACAATTTTTTTATTGAATTTTCCTTTATCCAATAAGAAATACTCTACTTATTTTATTGTTGTGGCGTTCAACACGTGCTGACTGACAACATAATCTTGACTGATTTTTATTTGTGTTGCTCAAAATGAATACTCGAGTATCAATGTCTGATGCTCTATCCAATGTTGAAGTTCTTTATGAACTTCCATTGATCGATTCTCAACCCAGTGTTGAAGGTGCAAATAATGCCATTGTCTATGAAGCTAACTTTGACACGAATTTCGAAGATAAAACAGCTTATATTACTGGAATATCAAAATATATTGAAGAAGCTGTTTTACATTCAAATCTAGTATAAAAATCTCTATTATATTATTTAGAATAAACATAGTTTTTTTTGTTATTTAGAGTCTTCTTCTTGAACAAGGTTATCAACATGCAATGACACTCTATACATGGCGTTGTTGTTCACGAGCTATCCCCACGGTAAAACTTGTTAATATTTCTTCAAGAATTATTTAATAAAATATATTTGTAAAATTATTTCTATAGCTTATTTTCGACGTATTGTAAGTTCGAGTGTATGCGCTAATGTTACTTCCCTGCTTACTTTTTTTTCTAATGGGAGTGGAAAATTTTATTATATTTCGATAAATAAATACTTATTCATTCATTCATATATTATAGGTTAAATCACCTGAACAACCAAATCGTATTGAAATTTATGAGAAAACTGTTGAAGCATTACAACCAGAAGTAGCGAAATTAATGGCAATCATGCATTTTTCAGTATGGAATAGGTTTCTTTGAAGTTTTATTAAATATATATATATATGTTTAGACGAATGCGGTTGAAACATTTTGTAATCAAGTTCGACGTTTATGTCATCATGAAAAACGAAAAGAATTTGTTAGTGAAGCTTATCTATTAACATTAGGAGAATTTATTAATATGTTTGCTGTACTTGATGAACTAAAAAATATGAAATCATCCGTTAAAAATGATTATTCAGCTTATCGACGGTATACAAAAACTAATTTTGAATGAAAATGATCATTTTGTTTTTTCTTGTTCATAGAGCTGCTCAATTTTTAAGAGTTATTAGTGATTCAACAGCTTTGACTGAATCACAAAATTTATCGATGTTTTTAGCTACTAATGATAAAATTCGAACTATGTTAAAAACATCATTAGCTCAAATTGAAGGTAATTTCATTTCTATTATAATCCATTTTACCAATTTACTTGTAAATAGGTTATGAAGAATTACTTGCTGATGTTGTTAATACAAGTGTACATATGTTTGAAAATAAATTGTATTTATTACCAAATGAAAAACATATGCTTGTTAAAGTAAGTTTATATTAAAAATAAAGTTCTATGCAAGATGAATATATTATATTTTGATATTATTCTTAGTCATAAATATTTGTTATTTTTAGGTCATTGGTTTTAGCTTATTTCTAATCGATTCAACGGCATGTAACATCAATAAACTTGATGGAAAGAAAAAAATCAATGTTAGTCGAATTGACAAAATCTTTAAGGTTAAATATATCAAAATATTTTCTTAGAGTTTATTAATCAAATATTTTTATTTTTAGACGGTTGAAGTTGTTCCACTTTATGGTGATATGCAAATAGCACCATTTAATTATATTAAAAAATCTCCTAATTTCGATCCAAGTAAATGGCCTGTTTGTAATGATACATCAACATCATCTATGCAAGGAAATCTCTTAATGCAATTACCAGAAATTCGAGAAGAACATGAAAGATTTATTGCTGATTTAGCTCGATATACGAATGAAGTTAGTTATCAATATAGTCTAATGTTACAATTTACAAAAAAAACAAATTTCTTTTTTTTCAGGGTGCGATACAAAAAGTAATGAAACGTACTGATCAAGAAATGAAATATTTATATCATATGGCCTTGACTGGTCTTCAATTATTATCAAAATGGAGCAATTCAATTCTTGAATTGTAATTCGAATTTTATTGAAATTTTTTACAATTAATTATTTTTGATTCTAGATATTGTTGGAAACTTCTTCATCCAGCTGATTATCGTAAAGGTGCAAGTAAATATGATGATGATGGTGAAGAATATGAACGTGCTACACGTTATAATTATTCAAGTCAAGAAAAATTTGCAATGGTTGAAATTCTTTCATTAATTAAAGGTTTACAATTACAAATGAATCGTTTAACTGAAACATTTCATGAAGCTATTTGTTCAACTGCATATAATGAATTACAATCATTTGTTCAAATACATATACGAGATATGATTAAGAAAGTTACACAAAAAAAACGAGATTTAACAAAAAGGTTTTCTTAATTTTTTCATTAAATTAGGTTTTTTGATGAATTTTGGTATTTTTTTGTTTAGTATTTTAATTGCAGTAAGAGATACATGTGTTGATTGTTTTAATGGAAGTAATGAAGCTAATTCGATTGAAGAAGCACTTGCATTAGGTTTAAAACTTAGTCAAAATCATGGAAATAAAAAAGATCATGGTGAATTAAATAATGTTAGATTTAATAAACGATGTGTTGGTCCATCTAGTACTCAAGTATGTTGTTTTTTATTTTATTAATTAACCAAAGAAAAGAGAAATATGTGATTTTAAAATGTTTTTATTTTTAGTTGTATATGGTTCGAACAATGATTGAATCTCTTTTGACAGATAAAAGTGGTTATGGAAAAAGAACATTAAGAAAAGATATCGGTAAGAATTAATTATATATTTTTTAAAAATAGAAATATTCTTATAGTTCAAGGATAAAGTAAGGAGATAGTTTCGTTTGTTTTTTCCATGCTATGTAATAAAATGGAAGAAATAATTTTTTTAATTGACGTATCTCTTTAGATTATACTCATTTATCAATGATTGAACAATTCCATAAACAATCGTTCTTCTGGGATTATCTTCTTAATTTTGATGGTAAAAATTTCATATATCTATTCATCATTCTTTCTCAAAATATCTTAATTTATTTAGCAACATTAAAACAATGTGCTGATCTAAGTCAACTTTGGTATCGAGAATTTTATCTTGAATTAACAATGGGAAGAAAAATTCAAGTAAAAAAATATTCTATCTCATGTTTTTTTATTCATATAAATTTTTCTAGTTTCCAATTGAAATGTCAATGCCATGGATTTTAGCGGATCATATCTTAGAATCAATAAAACAACCAATGATAGAGTAATTTTTATTGAAAATTATAAATTTAATTGAAAGATTGACTTTTTATTTTTTTTGTTAAATAGATATGTCTTTTATCCAATGGATCTCTATAATGATGCAGCAATGCATGCATTACTTGTATTTCGTAAACAATTTTTATACGATGAAATTGAAGCTGAAGTCAATCTATGCTTTGATCAATTAGTATTTAAATTGAGTGATAAAATCTTCACTCATTTCAAATCCTTAGCTTCTTGGTAAAATCATTTTCTTGAATTAATAAGTAAATCAATAAATTTTATTCATTTAGTATGTTACTTGATAAAAGATATCGTTCAGAATGTCATATGAATGGAATTAAAGTAGTTTTTCCTTCGGCAAATCGCTTTGATGCTTTACTTAAACAACGTCATATTCAAGTAAGAAAAGAAAAGAAATCATTTATCAAACAACTTTGAGAAATAAGATTATTTTTATTGATACCGCGTTATAATCACACAGTTTTCTGTCAATATATATTTAAACATCGATTTGAAAATGAACACTTACATTGTATATATTCGCAGTTCTATAAGAAACATTTTTCTATGTTTAGCTTCTTGGCCGTTCAATTGATTTAACATTTCTTTTAACTCAACGTTTAACATTATCTTTTAAAAAATCACTTGAAACTGCAATTCAACGCTTTGAATCAGTTAATATAACTGGTGTCATGGTAAGATTTTTTAGTTTCTTTTTTTTCAAAAAAAATCACTTTTTTGTATCTAAAGGAATTACAAAGTTTACTTGAAGTCAATCATTTAACTCATCAACTTCTATCATCCTATTTAACATTAGATAGTTTTGAATCACTTGTGAATGAAGTTAATCATAGTGTAGCAAGTGCACTTGGTCGTATAACATTACATATTTTCTGGGAATTAACATATGATTTTTTACCACATTATTGTTATAATGGAAGTACAAATAGATTTGTCAAAACTCAACAACCACATGTTAATGAAACAGCACGAGAAAAAATGGCACGAGAAATTCCTGATGTTCAATTATATGGAACAAGAGAATTAAATCAAGCTTATGAAATTGTTAATAATCTCTATCGAGGTTTTGTTGGTGTACAACATTTTCGAGCAATGACACGTTTACTTGGTTATCAAGGTATCGCTGTTGTTATTCAAGAAATGTTAAAAGTTGTTAAAAATTTGGTATAAAAATTTAGAAAAAGTTTTTTTTCGGAAAGATATTTAGAGATTCTTTTTCTTTTAGTTGGATAAAACAATTCGTGAATTTGTAGAAAAATTACGTACATGTATGCCAAAACAATGTAAATTACCTCGATCAGATTATGGATCACCAGGTAAAGAAATAATGTGATAATAGAAAAATATGGATTATGTTTTTGTTTAAGCTATATTACAATACTATCTTCATCAACTCCATGAAATTATTCATTACCCTGCATTACAAGATGTATTTCATTGCTTTCGAGAACTTGGAAATGCCATTCTGTTCTTTATCATGATTGAACAAAGTTTAGTAAGTCAATGTTTTAGTGAAATTTTGTCTTTATAACAAAATATTATTTTTTTTCAAACGTTTCTTGAATTAATTTTGTTTCATCGCTTATGACAGTTAAGTTTAATATTAATCATATACATTTGTATTAATAGTCTCAAGAAGAAATAAAAGATTTATTACAAGCAGCACCATTTCAAAATTTGATCCCACGTCCATATGCAAAAGAAGGCGAATCACTTGAAGCAAAAATTCGACGACTTGAAGCGAAATATGCTGCCATGTCACTTGTTAATATTATTAAAAAACTTGGTACTGAAAAGGTAATAGTATTCTTCAATTATTTTCCAAAATCATTATTTTTATTTTTGTAGCAAGGAAAACTTGTTGAGGAAGCTGATTTATTAACACGTGAGCGTCTTTGTATCGGTTTAACTACATTCGAAATAATGCTTGATCGTATTCGTACATTTCTTCTTGATGATCCTGTATGGGCAAATAATTCGTCATCAGCGATGAGTAATAACATAAGTCCATTATCAAATATTGATGATACACATGATTTTCATCGTATATGGAGTGCATTACAATTTGTTTATTGTTTACCAACACGTCATGAAAATGATATGAATATTGAGCAATTATATGGTGAAGGATTAAATTTTGCTGGCTGTACAATAATACGTTTATTAAATGAACATAGAAAATTTGAAACATTTGATTTTACATATCATTTATTTAAAATTAATCGTAGTGATCAAAAAGAGGATGAAGTTAAAAATGTGGTAAGAATATAAATTTCTGAGAAAGAATTTATTTATTTCATTTTGTTTAATATAATTAAGTCTTTACCAACATTTACGGAACGTATAAGAAAATTTCAAATACTGAATCAACAAATATTTGCTTGTCTCAATAAATATTTATGTCATACAACAACAGATGAAATACCTGTTGAACAAGTTAAATGTCTAACACCGATGACATTACAAACAATTCAGTATGTAGAATTATTTTAATAATAAATAACATAATATTTTCTATTTGTGAATTTATAGATCATCAATGCCAATTTATCAACATAGTCGTCTTCCAGGAACAACGAGTGAATGCTAGTCTCTCTCTCTTTATCACTGATCTAATCATTTTTTTTTAATGTATATACAAATATTGTTGTGTGCGTGTGTTTTCTTTCGTTCTTTGTAATTCAAATTCGACAAAAATAAATATCTTTTCTGTGTACTTCTAGATGGTTGTCTTCTACCATCATGAGTTATGAAAAGGAACAAATAGTACATTTTGTTCCTATGAATTCAAGACGACAACAAATCTCATCTAAATTTAAACAACGTTCACCTGAATATATTGCCGGTTTTCTTTCATCAGCAACCAATATATTATTAACTTATCCAGTTAACAAATTAATTTTCCGACAACAAATCTATCGTCTTAAAACGGTTGATGCATTTCAACAACTGAAAGATGAAGGTTTTCTTGTTCTTTATCGTGGTATGACATTACCATTATTACAAAAAACATTTTCTTTAAGTATTATGTTCGGTGCTAATGCACATTATCTACATATTTTACAATCATTTTCAAAAAAAGATCATTGGTATCATCAACCTATTGCTTCAGCTTTAGCTGGTACTACAGAAGCTATTTTAACACCATTAGAACGAGCACAAGTTTTACTTCAAACACCAAAATATAACACAGTTATACGTAATGGTTCACATGCCTTTATGTTGATGTACAAACATTATGGTATTATAGAATATTATCGTGGAGCAACATTAATTTTAATACGCAACAGTGTATCAAATGTAATATTTTTTGCATGTCGAAAACCCGTAAAAGATTTATTACCAGAAGCATCGACTGGTTTGCAGCACTCAATCTATGATTTTTTAAGTGGTGGTTTATTAGGTGCATTGTTATCAACATTCACATATCCAATTAATGTTTTAAAAAATATACAACAATCCGAACTTGGTGGTCGTCATGATCGACCATTAAATATATTTCGATCCGTTTATGAACAACGAGGCAATTCATTAAAAGAATTTTATATTGGTGCAAAATGGAATTTTATTCGTAGTCTTGTATCATGGGGAATTATTAATAGTACCTATGAATATTATTTAACAACATTACAGAATGTTATGTATTATGATAATTGATCTTCACTAATTCAAAAGAAAATTTTGGTTGCTCCCAGTGCTCACTTATAAAAATGATTTTATTATAAATGTGAAAACAAATGAAAATTAAGCTGAAGACAATAGGTCATATATTTTGTTTAATTTTATTTAAACCTTTTTTTCTACTCAATGATTAGTGTATATTTCGTATGTTTTTTGTTCGTGTTTTCTCTATTTTCCTATTGTCTGTACATCGTATACCGACGATTCTAAAAGAGTCACTAGTAAATGAATTAGATTTTCTCGTTAGAGACTCTTTTGTGAAAAGAAAAGAATAATGAATGGATCATCAAAAAGAATTAAATCATATTTAATAAATTGTTTCCAGGTGAAATTTTGCATTTGACATCGATCTAAGATGAAGATAAATGTAACTACTTTATTTGCTAACATATATATCAATGAGTTTTGATTATAACTAAAATATATTATTTTTCTTAGGTTGATTTCTCAGAGCACATACATCATCATTGTGAAACTTACTTTTAAAAGATATCACATAATTTTTCTATTGCCAAAGTATTCAGAACAACAAAATCAAAAAATATTTTATTCTAAATTTCGAAAAAATGTAATTTAACTCTTTAAGATGTAAGTTATGATCTCATTTGTTTTATTGACTATATTTATTTTCGAAATTCTGTGTAACTAAAAATTCATTTATATCTTTATCAGATCATTGAATATTATATATATCAGAGATTTTTATACAATCATGTGAACAACTGCTTGATTTGAAATATAACAGGCAAAAATAAATATGTAAAATCTGATGTATTATAATCTATGATATTGTGACGATTTCAGGCCCAGTATAGAGCGGTATAAGATTTGATATATATGTATACTTTATTCTTCAAAAGAAATGCCTTGCCAATTGAATATTCGTCATGTTTTATGTAACATTTACAACATTCTGTAGCCTCACACAGAAAAGGAAAAACATCAAAAATTATTAGTACCGAACGCGCAGACAAATACCGAAGTACATATAGAGAAAAGAGATTAAACTCTTGTTTGCCTTGACACATAATATGAAAACGAACAAAATACAAAATATGAATTTTGAAAAAAACAATATATTTTTCTAACAAAAGATATTTAATTATTAGGAAATGTTGACCGTTAAAAGCATAAATAAAGGCAATGTCTGATAAAAGATGCATATTTTTATCTCACAATAAATTGCTAATATATAAAAAGTAATGCGTGTTTGAAAGCTTCATTTTGAAATGTTACAAGATAATTGGTCTTACGTTCAATACATATGAATGTAAGCTGTTAATAAGATAGATACCAGCATATGAATGATCTCTTCGTTGAAGCTAATAAAAATAAAGTAAAATATTATTCTCTATTAAATATAAAGGAAATTATCTTACTTGCTTATGATCGTTCATATTAAATATACAATGGTCAACTCGGATTTTTTATAAAATAATGTATCGAAACAGGTTAACACATTTAGACAAAATTGCTGAATTTCCATATTGTTATCTGTTTCGAATACATAAATATGAAACTGTTCAATTGGAATAACTCTAAAAAGTTATTCAGTTATGCTGATTACATAGTTCACGTCAATGAAATCAAAAACAAAGATAACCGAAATCATTCAGGCGTGTTAATGTTACTTTGCGACATCTAGATTTTAATTTTATATATATTTGAGATGGTGGCTACTGCTAAGTGATGTAGATTTTTATTATAATTTATAGCGTTTGTCACTTACCACGTGTATTAGTTTATAAAAATAAAAAGTATTAAGCATGGTTTTCAGTACGTGTAACACCCGACTACAATAGATTATAAATGAAGTTTAAATATTTTTTCTAGTTACGGAAAGTTTAATACGAAAACGAGCAGAACATAATGAAGGAGAATTGACAACACTCGAAGAAGTATCGCTTCATCAACAAGATATTGAAAAGTAAGATTTAATTTATGTTTAGTAATAATCCTATTTTTTATTATTTATAGAATTGAATATTTGGATAAATGGTGTCGAGAATTACGAATTCTTTATTTACAAAGCAATCTTATTTCAAAAATCGGTAGATTTTTTTAAATACAATTTTTATTTATATATTCATTTTATTTTTATAAAGAAAATGTTAGTCGACTAAAAAAATTAGAATATATCAACTTAGCTTTAAATAATATTGAATATATTGAAAATCTTTCTGGTAAATATAAATATACAATGAATATTTTTATCTAAAACAATCCTTTAGGATGTGAATCATTAAATAAACTTGATCTAACATTAAATTTTATTGGTACATTATCATGTGTTGAAAATCTTCGTGATAATATGCATCTAGCAGATTTGTAAGTTATTTAATTTACATTTTACAATCATTTCGAATAATATCTAGATATTTAACTGGTAATCCATGTGCAGATCATGAAGGTTATCGTGATTATGTTATTGCTACATTACCACAATTACAAGTTAGTTAATCTGTTTATTTGAGATATAAAATATTATGTTAAAGGTTTTATTTCTAGAAATTAGATGGGGTTGAAATTACAAAGACTGACCGAATTTTAGCATTACAAGTAAGTTAACACGCAAAGTTTAATTATCAACAGTAACAAGAAAATATAACTGTTAGATAATTAATAGTTTTAGTGTTCTTCTCGTTTAATTTTATTTAATAATTAATTTATCACATTTTGTTTTAGAAATATGATAAGATTTCCAAGCGGATTGAAGAACTGGATAAACAGTACGCAGAAAAACGAGTAATATACATTAGATTTTACCCTTTTTTTAATATAAATATCGTTTCTCTTTAGAAAAATCAAGTAAATGAATATGCACGTACAAAACCAGAACGTGATGCTGATGAAAAGTATTAAAATATTGTTTTAGGCGAAAGAAAATGACTTTTTGATTAATTTAAATTTGCAGTTTTTGGGAAAGACAATCGGAATATACACCAGAATCACGTATAGAATCGCATGAAACGATGAAAAAGAAACGTGAACATGAGTCAACAGAGTTTGTATTCAAAAATATGATAATCTCATTTAATTTATCTGTTTGAAGAACGAAACCCGAACCAAAACCTGTTCGTCAATATATTGGTGATGATGGTCGTCCACTTAATTGTAATGAACCAAAGTATATCATCACTTTTCATTTTATCAGTCTTAAAATATAATATAATATGTTTTTTAGAGTTGATTTTAAAATGTATGAAAGTGATGATGATCGATATGTTATTCTTGATGTTTCTGTTTTTCGTCATATGGATACATCACTAGTTGATGTCGATGTTCAACCTACTTATATTCGTATTACCATTAAAGGAAAAGTATGATCATATGAACAATCATTTTTTCTTATAATTTTACTTGATTCAAAGGTTTTACAATTGGCCTTACCAGAAGAAGTGAATACAACACTTTCAGTAGCCGAACGATCGAAAACAACTGGACATTTAGTAATTAAAATGCCCAAAGTATGTATAATGATTCATTCAACATTCTTCTACATTTTTTTCTCTTAAGATCCATATAAAAAACTCAAATATTTCGATTGAAACAAAATCACAAAAAGAGAATAAAACTGAAGATAAAAAACCGTACGTAATATTTCATTGTTCTTATAAATTCTATCATTTTTTGTTTTCTTTTATTCAAGTACTGCAACATCAACTTATCTTGAACTTGGTAAAGATCCTTCATCAACTGTTGATTATACTCAAATTGTAAAACAAAATAAGAAAAATGCTGAATTAAAAGCTAAAACAATTTCACCAAAAGAACGAGAAAATTCAGTTGATTTCGTTGATGATCCAGATGTACCTCCTTTAATTTAATTTATATTGTTCTTATTAATGTTTTTTGTTAATAAAAATAAAATCTGTTTTTAAAAAGTAACAGATTCATATAATCTTATTGAATCAAATTGCCTTGTAGATTTAGAAAATAAATTCATTAATATTTTTTTACTGATCTTTAACTTTATATATAAAACGGAAACAAGTATTTATGTTTCACAAATTAAACAAAATATACATAATCAGACACATACAATGGCAAAATAAAGTCGAAAAAAAAACAATTTTTCTCTAGTCTATATAACATATATATCCATCGTATGTTTCGTTTGACTAGTCAATAATATAGCAAAGAAATATGTTTCTGTGTTGACAATAAAAATATATACAAATTAATCAATGTTATTTTCGTTTTATCAAGATGATGATAATATTGTTTTTGCATGACGTTTTTGATGTTTAGCTAAATGATCACTTCTCATAAAGGCTTTTTGACATACGATACAAACATGTTTTTTTTCGCCGGTATGTGTTCGTCGATGTCTACTTAATTCATCCGACCGCGCAAATGTTTTGTCGCAATTCGCCCACGAACATGAAAATGGTTTTTCACCTAGATAAAATAAAATAAAAAATAACAGATAAAAATGAAATCAACAAAAGCTATATATAGTTATAATACGTCGTTGTTTTTTTTTCCTTTTAAATAATCGTGTTTCGGAGTACGTTCTCCGTTCGAAAGAAAGAGAAAATAGGAGGTACACTTATCTTTCCTTTCGTTTGACGTCATTTATTGGTAATAGTAAACTAATATTAGAATCAGTGTCATATTGAGAGGGATAGTAATCTATATACCAATTTTTTTTCTTTTTTAAAAAAATAGGATGACGAAAAAATCTGAGACAGCTGTCGTTTAGAGAATAATAAATTCCAACCTACCAGTATGTAGACGCATATGAGCTTTGAGATGAGATGATTTGAAATATGATTTTACACAACCATTAAATGTACATGTATAATTCTTTTTTCGATCTGATGATAATAAATTGTTATCTGTTGCTTCTGATTTTGTTTGAACTAAAAATGATGTTTGTGCAACAGGAACATATTCACCATTGAGATTAACATAAAGTACATGATATTCCTGTTGATTATTATTATTATTAATATTAGCAGTAATATTATTTGTTAATGGTGGAGAAGATTGTGTAGTTGTAGCTGACGAATATATGGATGATTGACTATCATCATTCGATGATAAATATGGAGATGTACATGATGTAGATGAGATATCCGATAATGATTCATCTGACGTAGAAGATAGTGAACCTGATCGTGTGATATTTTCGGAGTTATTTGATAATATTAAATTATTAAATGAAGAAAAAGAAGTATTAGTTGGTTCCTGTAAATACTGAAATAAAAAAAAAGTATTACTGAGTAAAAAAAACAAAAATTATTTTTATTTATTTACCGGTCTAAATTTTGGATGCAGTTTTCTAGGCTTCTGTGCATTTGAACTGAAGGATAATAATAATTCAGCATCTTGAACACTCGGAGTCTAAATTTTTTTAATAAATAAATAAAAATTTGAATTAAAATAAATATCAACAACACTTACAATATCTGTTTCCTGTGTATTCATATTGTTATTATTTATTTTAATCGAACTGTTTTGTTGTGAATATAGAATGGATGTAACTTCTGGTAATAAGACTTCCTCGGCTTGTTTTATATTCGTTTTAAAACTAAGTGACGAAATAGATGATGAGAGTTGAATCATAAATATATACCCTTATAAATGTTCGGGTGTGGCTAACTAATGTGTATGTCTGAACTGTGCAAATAAGTAATACGAGAGAAAGAAACTCAAATATTCCATGCAGTGAGTGCGTGTCATACGCCGTGTTAGTTGCCTATCACGCGCAACTAGCGTGCAAAGAAAGGAAAGAAACATGCGTTGGACCATGCCCCATCCTTTAACAGAACAGAACAGAACACACCCCCATTGAGAGAGGTGTGTGTGAAAGAAAAATAGGGAGAGCATGCGCTCAGTTAGTGATCGAAAAAGATTTATAGTTGGAAGAAATAGAAACAGAAATTACTAAGGAAGAAAAAGATGATGAAATAGTAAATAATAATACATGAACAAACGTTATTTAATTGTATAATATATGTAAAAAATGAGTGGAAGAATAGAAGTTCTTTTGACAGCATAGTAAATTATGATATATATATGTATAAATAGAATGGACTTTAGAACTGGAAGATATATGTTTATTGTTTATATTATCATATATATATATAGAAACATATAAGATTATTAAGTATAGACGATATGTCACAGACGAGTTTTATAATCAAATGAATTCCATGGTAAAAAAAATATTCCTGTCAAGCTTATCTTTGGATGAAAAGCTTCGGATGATGAAAGTATCTCTATCAACAGAGACATAACTGTTAATTAACATGCAAAGCACAAAGTTCATTATTACTCAGAAAGCATGTTTTGAATGCGTGCTATTATAGAACATTGTACTTTTGCAAAATATTAGTAAGATCGCAATTGATGTAATCTTTCCAACAAAAAAAATGCGACAATTTTTTGCTATATCATAATTTCATTATTGAAATTTTTATCACCAGATCTGCAATTGAATTATATCGAAAAATAATATTTTTTACTGGACTTTAGACTAATAGTTAATATATAATGTTATAAATAGCTTTTAACCGCACAAAAATATCATCATCATCATCTTCAAATATGTCTTATCTTAAAACATATGAAAATAAAAGCACAACAAACTACGCATATACATATTATCAAATCAAAATTCTTTAAATTTTTTTATTTATATAATAATTATTAAAGTGAATTTAATTATATCCGAACAAACTAGTATTTTCACACATCATTAATTTTACTATTTTTTCGATTATATACAAATACATTCATAGTTTTGAATCTAAAAAGAATATTCGTAGATATAAAAAACTGATTACATGCAAATCAGTTCTGTAATGAAAAATATTTTGAAAGTGGAGTAATCGCTTCTTTACTCTCTCCTTCTATCACCCAAATTCACCACCTGTGTCGTTAAATAATATGCCGCAAAAAAAATGACTCACATCCTATTTTTTTGTATGATAGTTGAATCATCAATCTTGTTGATACATTTTATATTTTCATACGTAAAAAAACAGAAATGTCGTATTTATAAAAGTTAACAATAGTCTTGTTGACTTTAACCCTTTAAATATTAATAGTTTTAGTGGTTTTCATATCTAAAAATAAAATACATACCATACATTGTTTTTGATATATAAACTATTTTAATAATTCAAATCGATGTATACCATACACTGATGACATCTCAATAAGAGACCTTCGCGCGTTTCTATCCCCAATCAAGCGATGATATCGTTAGATAAATTTTGATTGCTGAAAATATATATTTATTAAATTTAACGAAAATGAGTGAAAAGAAAAGTTTATTAAAAAAATCATGTTTAGAAGATTTAAGTGCCGAATTATTAATGTCAATATTTGATTATTTAACATCTATTGAAATTTTAATATCATTTTTTAATTTAAACAAACGTTTTTGTTTAATTATTTATTATTATCTTCAGTCAGGTTATCGTTTAACACAATTTCATTTAAATAATACAAATTATTTAGCATATAAACTTTTTCATAAGAATATTTTACCAAATTTAAAATCAACAATAACATCACTAGAACTAGGTAGTGATTATTATTATGGACAAATTGATTATTTTCATCAATATCAGTTATTACGTCTTGATTCACTTAAACTTCATTTCATTGATCCAAAAAATATTACGGAAATTCTTGAAAAATTTCTTAATTATAATCGTTTACAATGGTTTGATAAAATAAATTTAATTATGGATGAAGAAATAATAGGATGGAATGAACAAATACCTTTTTGTGTACAAAATATACCTGTTAGAGAGTTAAAAATTACAGGTAAGAAATAAATGTTTTTTTCGATAAAGACATATAGAACACGCCCTCATTATTTTCATATTGCACAAGGAAAGTTTTTACTTAAATGAAGATTATCTATATTACTATACACTCTTCCGTATAAGAACTCATTTAAATATTTTAGCATTGTTCAGTCTCAAAAGTGCTCGATCTCTTTATACTTGCATCAAATTAAAATAATTTCCCTTCCACATTTTATCCTGCACTGTTAGTCCTATTATATCATAGTTCAAATTCTTAATTAAGGCTTTTGATATGCTCTACAAGAAGTACTAATTCAAACGATACATGGATTTTAAAAAACACTTTAATCACGTTTTTCCTTTGAAAAACATCAAAATTAGTCGCTTTCGCCATGAAATTTGCGTAAAGATGGTTAAAAAGATAACTGTATTACTAGAAAAAACGTGAAAACAGATTCGTTTTAGAAGATTTTAATAAGTGATATAGATCAAAAACGTGTTAACAAGATAACCTGATCACATGCCTGAGAATTTTTGAGTTTGAATGATGTTACAGGTTTCCCGAATGCCCATACTTTTCAGATAAAATCGAATTTTATTATCTGACATCATATCTCTGTATAACAAAGCATTGATGTTTCACTCAAATCATAAGTTATTTCTTTTAGGTAAAGTTCCATATGTATTCGCGCAACATTTAATGACCGGCTGTTATTCAATTACTCATTTAACTATTCATTTAAAATTTGATCATGGTAAATATAAAATGAAATATTGCATTGATTAACTTTTCGTTTTTTCTTAGATCTTCTTCCTCTACTTTATTATTTACCAAATCTAATCGAATGTAATGTACATGTCGATGATCGTGGTCGTGATATATCTAATAGTTTAACACTTCTTGAACCACTTCCTAATTTAAAACAATTCAAATATGAAGGACTTATGCCATCATTCTATTTACGACGATTACTTCTTGAAATTAATAAACATATTGAACATTTATTTATTTATACTCAAGATTATCAATGGCCATTTCATTCAACAGAAGCATTTTCATCGAAATTCTTCGATCTTCTCCATGATTTACGTACATTTAATTTTTACATTCGTCTAATTACTTCGGAAAGTTTTAAGAATTTAACAACAGATTTCATCGATACAAAATATTTAATAAAAAAAAATTTATGTCAAAATATAGCATATGTTCTATCAAACGATATAGGTCAAATATTTTCTTTACCATATGCATTTAAACATTTTGAAATATTTGAAAAAAATTTTTTTAATCAAATTTATTATGCTGAATATGAAAAAGAAAATATTAACATCAGTTATTGGAATAATATCAAACATCTTACATTACATATTAATATCTATAATTCATTATTACTTAAATCAATCAAAGAAACATTTATTAAACTGTATTCAATTAATTATCAAGTTCCAACTTTTAGTCTTACACCGCAAGATAATGAATTACATCAATATGATGTTCAATTTAGTAAGTTCATCAGAATATTAATCAAATATAAATATTTTCTTTTAGATAGTATAAAGAAATTAACCATTCGTGATAGTGTTAAACATGGATGTCATATTCCTCAACCACTTTTCCTACTTACATCAAATCTTGTTGAACTTGATATAGATCATTTCTATTTAATGCAAATTATATCAATTGTTAGTCAACAAACACAATCTCGTATTCTATCCGCATTTGCTCGACTTCGTCGTGTAACTGTTCGACAATTTAATGAACGTCTCACCGAACATTTCTTCTCATATTTTTCTCATATTAAAATCTTTGCTTTAATATTTGCAACATATCAAATGCAAGTTTATCGTACGAATTTACCATTTCTTAATGATCTTCTTAGTTCAATACCAAATTTAATCAGTTTAAAATTAGAACATATCAAAAGACCACATGAATATCATGCATTTATTGAAATGAAAGAAAATATTGAAGGAATATTCTCGACATATTATTCAAAAAATAGTTACTGGTGTAAATGGTATGATGATCAGACACAAAAACATAATAAATATGCAACATTTCTTTTTTCAACATGAAAAATTCTAGTTTTCTTTTTTTGTCAGAAATTTTATTTTGACAGATTTGTTATTGTTTAATATGTTATACATATATATTTATGTGATAGTCAGTTTATTTTCCTTACTATATATGTATTGTGTACAATGAAAAGGAATCCTCTTCATTTATTTGTGCTCATTATGAAGTAGAATTTTCAAATTCTTTTAGATGAATGAATCAACAGTAACAATGGAACATTCAGATTCAAAATTCTTCTCACAACGAGCGAAACATATTTCGTTATTAAATGAACAAACTTCAACGATATTTGTTCCACCACAATCATCACCGAAAGAAGTACGTTTTCAATTTTCTAATCGAGCTTATATACCAATAACAGAAACTCAATTAAATCCAGTGGAACAAGATCATGAGAATACAATATCCATTGATTATCATAAAAGTATGAATACAGATCGAGGCCGAACAACTATTCCATTATCATCATTTATATTACAAAAAGATAGCCTATTACCCACATCCACACCCACTACTAATACTATTACAACACCGATTTTTGTTATGCATGATGAAGTACAATTTGTTCGACCCTATTTTGGACCACCTTGTAATAATAATATACAAACATCATCATTAACATCACTCAAACGACAAGTACTTCTTTCAGCATTAAAAGAAATTGAATCAGGTTTAAAAGCATTATAAACATTATTAATTCGTTTTTGTTGTGCAAGACGTCAGATAGGTAAAAGTAAAATCTTTTTGTGTATTGCAATCTCTGTGATTGCAAGATATTTTGTTTATGTACAAATTATTTTGTGTGAAAGTATTATAGATTATTTTTTCAAATTATTTCTTTTTTTCTCTGTTTTGTTTCTCAACATGAAACATATTTTTGAATAAAAAATACCATAATTAAAATTTATAATTTTTGTTTTCAGATAAACATTCAAATAATATAAGGAGCAGTTTTAAGAGAGGAATTATTAGAAGTTAATCGAACACTAAAAGATCTGCTTGGTTAGGCTTGTAATATAGTTCCATGGTGTCACCTTCAATCTGAGCATGTTAAAAATATTGAAATGTGATATATAAGTCTTCATTCTATCTATCTCCTCAGACCGTAAGAAACTATGGATATTAAATAGCTAATCAATCAGTAGCAAAGCACGAGGACTTCCGTTGAAAAGACGCTCTGGGTACTATATATTAGCTATAGAACGAATTGTTAACTTCCGTAGGAAAATAATAGAAAGAACCTAGAGTCAACGAATGAATCTTTTCCATTGCTCTGAGATAATTTGCTGGAACTGTGTGTAGAATTAAGAAATTTTTTAATTACAATAAACTCGACTTTTATTATTAAAGGAGTTTTAAATATGTATGTATAGGTTTTCATTTGTATCTTACTCCATCTGTTGGCAAGTATTAGATAGTTATCAACCAATCTATATTTAGTTGACTCATGGATAGGAAGGAACGAGTGATGTGGCTGAGAGCGCAAAACATGGATAATGACTTTTGACTAAGAATTCTATGAACTTGTTTATTAAATATCTATAAAAATGTAATTATTTAGTTTATATTTATTTTAGAGTTTTAATCATGGCTAACACATCAAGTGATAGCCATAGTATCCTTCAAAAACTCATCAATAACTTATCTAGTGATCTTCGTCAATTATCAACTGAAACGAAGAAAAAATATCCACCAATTAAAGAAGTAGAACTAGTCTTATTATTTAGTTTAAATAATATTAATAATAATATATATTTTAGGCAGCCGAAGCATGTAATATGAAATTACGAGAATATAGTACGATGAAAGATAATTTGAGTATAGGTATTATTTTTAAAACTTTAAAATAATAGAAAATTCCATAATAACTATTGTAGTGATGCGTGATGCAAGTGTGGATTTACTTCAACCATTTGTGTTGGGATGTGATACTAAACAAGTTAAAATTGTTCAATTATGTTTAACATCAATACAAAAACTACTTCAACATCATATTGTTAATCAAGTTAGTTGAAAAAAAAATATTCTTTTTTGTTTTTGATTTATTTATTTATTATTATTTCAATTAAGGCATCTGCAGCAATCATTGTTAATGTTCTCAGCGCTTTATGTGAATTACAAACTGAAGAATTAAAAATTTTACAAACTGTTCTATTACTTGTTAATACAACATCTGTAGTTGTTCATAGTACACTTGCTACAGTAATATTAATACAATAATATAAATAATACCTATTTATTATTTTCTTTTAAATAGTTATTTGTTATAACTTTTCGATTATGCTTCAGTAAAGATCCAACAATTGTAAATACGTCTACAGCTGCTGTTCGACAACTTGTTACAGCTGTTTATGATCGTGTTATCGAAGAAGATACACAAAATATACCAGCCGGTGGTAAGGAATACATACTATTTTTGAATAATAAACCATCTTTAAAAATAATTATGTGATCGATCATTGATTATTTTTTTTTCTTCATTTAATTAGATCAAGTTACTCAAGATTCGGATCTTTCAAAACCACAACAACAACAACAACTATCAAGCAACATAGATTCATTACGTCCTTATGCTCGTGATGCTTATCTTCTATTTCAAGATCTGTGTTATTTAATAAATGGTGATCAACCTATATGGTTAATTGGTTTAACAGAAATAACTCGTACTTTAATTCTTGAATTAATTGAAACAATTCTAACACATTATGCATCGATCTTTCATTGTCATAATGAATTTCGTTATCTATTAAAAGAACGAGTTTCACCATTAGTTATAAAATTATTTTCTCCAGGTTCAAAACATTCAAATTCATCAAGTGGACAAAATTCTAATACAACATATGATAGTGCATATTTTCCATTAATAGCTCGTCTTTTACGTGTTGTTTGTATATTAATACGATTCTATTTTACATTATTAATAACTGAATGTGAAATATTTTTATCCTTATTAATTAAATTACTTGAACCTGATAAACCTGTTTGGCAAAGATCATTAGCTATTGAATGTATACATAAAATAATAATACATCAAAATTTAATAAAATTATTCTGTTTATCCTATGATATGCAACCACATTCAAGTAAAATTTTACGTGATTTAACAAATGCCATAAGGTTTGAGGAATTATTTTTTATATAAAATAAGAAATGTTTTTTTTTGTCGGTTTTAGTTCATACGTTCAATCATATTTTAATAGTGCAGCTATTTCATCAAATTCTACAACAACAAGTGGGCAAACAAATACAACTAATGTGGCTATTTCAGATAAAAAATGTAAAAATTATTATGTTTTTTTAAAATAAATTCTATTCCTTTTTTTTCGATTTAGCATCTGGTGCCAGTACCACATCAAAATTAGATAGTACTAGTACATATTCATCCAATGTTTCCAATGGTACTGGTGGTTCATCGAATACAATACTTTTTGCATATCGAAATTTACTTGTTCCACAATATGTTACCTATACTCAAGGTCAAGCTAAAGCTGTCTATGTTGAAAATTGGGAGAAGTTTGATTGTCCACTTATACCAGATTCATATGGAATTGTTGTTGCTTATGCATGTATGCTTGAACTTGTTCGCGCTGTTCAATCTATTATTGAAGGTACCGGTATGCGTGGTGATAGTATAGCTGGTACACAATTACGTACATCAGTACAACTTCGACCATTAGAGAGTTTAACAGAAAATGAAAAACATGAATGTATTGAAGTTGTTAATTGTACATGGTCAAGTGTACTTGTTACATTTACATTATTATATGATGTTTGTTATGATGATACATCATGTGAATTACTTTTACGAGGTTTTCAAACCTATATTTCATTATGTGGAATGCTTGGAATGAATGTACAACGTGATGCATTTGTTACTTGTTTATGTAAAACAGCATTACCACCACAATATAATATTCATTTATTAGGTAAACAACAAAATAATGAACAACAACAGCAACAACAAAGTTTATTACAAAAATTAACAACTAGATCAAGTGTAGATTCATCAACAGGAAGTGATTATGAAAGACAGCAAGTAGTTATTGTTGGAACACCATTACCACTTTTAAATTCATCATCAGCAATGAATCAAACGGCTGTTATGGTATGTATAACTAAAGTTTTTTTTTGCATAGAAATTACAAAAAAAGAGAATTTTTATTTCAGTTAACATCAAAAAATATTCATTGTATGCGAACACTTTTGTCAGTTGCTCATTGTTACGGAAGTATACTTGGGACATCTTGGCATTTAATCTTAACAACTCTTCAACATCTCGTTTGGATAATTGGATTTAAACCATCAACTGGTGGTACACTTAAACATGTTGGAACATTAGCTAATACAGATGCAACACCAATGACAAATTCAGCTGCTGTAGTAACAACAGCAGCTATGGCTGATTTACCAATATTATCATCAATGCTTTCACGTTTATTTGAATCAAGTGTTTACTTAGATGATGTTGCATTACATCATTTAATCGATGCATTAATACGTTTAAGTATTGAATCAATGGAAGTGGCAATAATTGTTCGTGAACCCTCATTATTTGCTATTGCAAAAATACTTGAAACTGGTCGAGCAAATTTAAATCGTATTGATGTTTGGTGGAAACCTATTTCATCACATTTACTTGACGTATAAAATTATTCTTATGTATTAATGAATATTATTGACATTTCTCTTTTTTCTCAAAGGTCTGTCAACATACAAATCCACGTATGCGTGAATGGGGCACAGAAGCAATAACATTACTTGTACGTAATGCACTTGAATATAAATATGAACAAAATTTATTTGATAATGAACGTTTATTACACATGATTATTATATCATTACATGAATTATCATTAATTCAACATTTTGATGTACGTCAAAAACAACTTGAAGCAACTTTATCAATATTAACAAATAATGGACCTACTTTACAAACTGGATGGCCAATTATGTAAAAAAAACGCTATAAAAATTAAACTATCTAATTTGCTTTTGTTTTAGTTTAAATATAATTGGTTCAATAACTCGTGAACATAATGATTCTTTAATACGTCAAGCACAACAATGTTTACAATTAGTTGTAACAGATTTTTTATCAACTATTCCAATATGTTATTTAGGTATATTGATAAAAGTTGTAGCAAAATTTGGTTTTCAAGAACAAGATTTAAATATAGCTTTATCAGCTATTGGTCTTTTATGGAATATGACTGATTATTTATTTCGTATGAAAGAACAAGAACATCAATTAAAAAATGTCAATGATTATTTGGATCCAAATGAAATTTATGATAATTTAACAGCAATTGAAGAATTATGGATGATTTTATATCGAAAATTAAGTGAATTAACTATTGATCAACGTCCAGCAATAAGAAAATCAGCATCATCAACATTATTTACTATGATAACATCACATGGACAATTATTAAGTACAGGTGCATGGAGTATTTTAATATGGCAAGTTTTATTTCCATTATTTGAACAAGTGGAACAATTTTTTTATACGGCATCAAAAGAAAGAGAACAATTACAACAACAACAATTATCAAAATCATCAGGTGGACAAGACATTTTAATGCATCATTCAAGAGATACACCGGAAAAACAATGGGCTGAAACATATGTGATGATATTAGCCGGTGTTACAAGAACAGTTCAAGTAAAAAAAGATTTCTTAGCTAAACTAGACGATTTTCCGAGAGTTTGGAATGTTCTATTAACTAATATTGAAAAATCTGCCTTAGCAAAAAATCCTGAAATAGCTCTTGCAGCATTGAAAAGTTTTAATGATCTTGTAAATGTTCCAACAACTCCTTCATCATCTCCATCAACAAAGAAAATTTTAACACCACGTGATCAACAACTTTGGCAACAAGCCTGGCAAGTTTGGTTAAATATTGGCAATGGTTGTAGTCGTTGTCCACCTGAACGTATTATAATTATTGATCGTTATGATTCTAATATACCATCACAAAATTTTCTTACATTCTATATTGATATATTTCCAAATTTAATAAGTCATATATGGTCAAGTGATTTTATTCTTAATGATAAACATTTTGATCAATTTTCAACAATAATTGAACGTGTTCTTGCTGTACCAATACATTCTGATATGGCGTTATTTTTAATTCCAACTGATGTTAATTTAACATTATTACAAGAATCAGCATATAAAGCAATGGAATTTGTTTGTAAAAATTTAAAATTAGAATTAACCAAATCAGCAAATCCATCAGCACTTTTACCAATTGTTTTTAAACGTTTACTTGTTCTTGTTCTTTATGCTATTAATCCTCCAATATTTGATTGTACAGAACAAATTAAAAAAATTACAACAAATAAACAACAACAAAATGGCAAAGGAAATGATTCCAATGTTAATTTTGTACCATTTGGTGAAAAAATTCTTCGAATGACTATTAGCCTTTATGAAGATGTTACTGATAATCCAGCAGTTATTGAAAATGGAACATTACAAACTATTATTCAAGTAAGTTTTTTTTGCTTGACTTTGTATGAAACAGATATTTATTATTGTTTTTTATTTATAGACATTACAAATTCCATTATCTATGAAATATAATTGTCCAAATTCATCAACTTGGAAATTAGCAATTGAATGTTTCTTTCGTGTATTAAAAGTTGGCCTTATTGTAGCAAGAAAACATAGTAAGAATTTTTTTTTAAATATTTCTCTATTTATGTATGATTGATTTTTAGGAAATGCATTTGAAAGTATGTGGACAGAATTAGCAAAAACATTCGATGATTTTCTTTTCTCAAAAAGGTATAGTTTCATTTCTTTTAAATGAATTATATTCTATTTTGATATTTTAGCGTGCCGCCAACAGATATTGCAATTGAAGAACTTCAACGAGATGAAGCTATCGATTGTCAAGTATGTCTAAAGTGAAAGAAAAACCTATCAATCTTATTATTTTATTATTCTATTAGGCAATTGAATTAATTCGAGATGATATTTTACCATATGCTAATGTCCTTCCGGAGCCATTTATAACTAAAATATTGAATATACTCAATCGGGGTTCAATTTATTCATGTGCAACAGATAATTTTATTGGTATGAATTTTAAAAATATTCCTTTTATTATTATTGTTTTTTGTATTTTTTTAGATATCGATTCTGCACGTCGTTTACGTGAAGAATTTTCTAAAATATGTTTCGAAACATTACTCAAATATTCATTTATAAATGAACCATCATCAACAAATGAGAATGTTGTTATAACTCGTCTAGCACTTAGTTCAATGTTAAATCGTTGTAAAGAAATTCTACAAAAATATGCTCATGATGAACGTTTACATGGCAAATGTCCATTACCACGGTATGTAGAAATTTCTTTCGAATTTTTTTCTTTAATTTAAAACCAAAAAATAGAAGATTATATTTCTTGGATAAGTTAAAAGAGTAAACATACGAATAATTGAGTCAGGCTTGTTGTTGACTTTTTTGCAGTACTGATAATCTTGAACCAGTTGCTGGAGCAGTCAATTACAATCACAACAGCTTAACTCCTTTTTCGTAAGTTTGTTTTACTCCCTTGCGGATATGTATAAAAAGCTTTTGAAAAAAATTACCAGCTCGATATGACTTTTGTAGCACTATACATGCATGTTTACACATATATATGAAATCTTGTATAGACAGATTTCTTTGATTGTACTAATAAACTATACAAGTGAACTATTCATTTGATCTAATCATTTCTAGAGCTTAGTATATTAAAAATAAATGTTTGATGAAAACTAATGCATGATAATAGATCAGTTGTGATTTTACATTGCTCCTGTGGGGTGCTTAGTTGTAATATACTCGATGAGAACAAACTGTACTGCTTTTTATATTAATAATTACATATTAATTATCAATCATTTCTTTTAGACCACGTACAGCTGAAATGATTTCAGTACTTAAAGCATTGGGGACATTAATTGGTGCATTAAAACGAGCACCAAAAGATTCAGGTAGAAATTCCGATATTTTAATATTGAAATATTAATTCATTTTCTATATATTATAGTTGATATTAATATATGGCATCAATTAATTGCATTATATCCATGTTTAGTTGAATGTACAACATCACCATCTCAACAAATTTGTAATGCAATTAAAGATACACTTCATCAATATTTTTCACTCTTAACACCACCACCATCAGTTCGATAAAAACAATGAAATAATAACATACAAACCTGAATTTTTTCCCCGGTTTTATTCGTACGCTCTTGACTAATAAATATATTTTCTATTTGTCTGTGTGTATGTAACAGGTTGTCTATATTATCTTCTTGATCTGTTTCTCTTTTTTTTCTTTTTATGTTCGAAATCTCATTTTCGAAAATATGTGCTCTTCGTTACATTTTTTTCTTCTCGGTCTTATTCGTTCATTTATTTATTACTTTAAATTCCACAATTTGTTATTATGTGTAAAACAAAAAAATTCTTTATCAACACTAAACATAGAGCACATATATACAGTATTCTTTCGTTTTTATTATCTATAGACATTCATACACGATCACATCGTTTTTAATATGATAATCAATTAAACAATGATGAGCACCGAAAATCTTCTTACATATATATGAAATATCAATGTTGTATTTGTCAAAAAAAAGATGATAAAATTTAATCAGACTAGTTCATATTATATTAATATGAACGTTGATGAAGTCTAACTGAAATGATTGAGACGTCGATATCAAGAAATACAGAATAAAGTATGTTACAATAATTACATTAATGGTATCTTCGAAATGTATGTTCTTGGATACATATAGAATTTATTAAAAGAAATATCAGAAACGAATTTTTAGAGCCTTAATAATTCCTCTATGATATTTTTCGAATTACATGGATCTATTTTATGTGGATAATGATTTGTTTTTCTCTTTTATTTTTTAGATTAACATCAATAATTCATCTCATCATTTAAATACTCACATTAGCTATTTTTTTGTGCTAATTTCTTCTTCCTCTCGAATAAACTAAAACAACTCTCTTTACATAAAACAATGAATACCATTGTTTTTTTAATTGATTTTTCTTTTATTTAATTCTCCAGATGTCTGACTTCGATGATGATGCTTTCGACACGGCACCTAATTATGAAAAGATGCGCGGTATGGGTTTCATTTGTTGGCGTGAAATATCTGGAACAAATGATGAAGTATTCTACTCAAATTTCTTGCAAAATAACATATTTCTATAATTTTCTCTTTCAAAGGATAACGATGAAACACAATTAAACGATAAGAAACAAAATAAGAAAAAAAAAACGAAAAATTGATGAGATTGAAACAGAACAACAAGAAATTAAAACGCCTATTAAAAGTGAAACATAATCTAAATTTTATTTAATATTAAAAATCTTGTTTAGAAAGTAAAAAATCAAAGAAAAAAAAATCGAACAAGAAGAAGAAACGTTCAACTGAAACCAATGCTACATCAAATCTTCAAATAAGCAATAAAAATAATGAAGAAAATATTGAAATTACACCGGATACCGATGTAACTGGTAAGAGAAAAATTTTATCAAATGATTTTATAAACAATATTAAATATAGAAAGTGCTAAAAAAAATTGGGCTGATCTTCATGTGTCGGAAAACATCATCCGTTCATTAGTTGAACAGAAGTTTTACGAACCAACTCCAATACAACGTCTTACTTTACCAGCTGCTATACATGATAATCTAGATATTATTGGTGCTGCTGAAACTGTAATTTCCTTTTCTTTTCATCTATAAGAAAAAAACAACTGTTTTTTCTCAAAAATTAGGGAAGTGGAAAAACATTAGCTTTTGCAATTCCAATTCTTACTCATATGATTACATTATTGGAAAAAAATGAAGTAAATTCATTTGTTTATTATAAATAAATCAAAAGAATATATTCTATAGATATCTTATGGGCAATTTACAACTTTAATTCTTACACCAACTCGTGAATTAGCTGTTCAAATCAAATCTCATATTCAAATTGCATGTCGTTATACCAAATTTAAAGTAAAAAATAAATCAAACGTTTATTTATATTTATATTTATATTAAATCTAGACTGCTGTTGTTGTTGGTGGTATGTCTACACAAAAACAAGAACGTCAATTATCTCAAAAACCTGATATAGTTGTTGCTACACCTGGTCGATTTTTTGAATTATTAGAAGAAGTAAAATAATTGTCAAAGAAAATGAAATATTCTTATTTAAACTTTTAGAATAATCAACATATTGTTGATATGTCTAATCTTCGATTTTTAGCTGTTGATGAAACTGATCGAATGATTGAAAAAGGACATTTTGAAGAATTAGAAAAAATTCTTAAATTAATCAATAAGTAAAATTTCGATTTCTGTCTTATCAATTTTTCTAATCTTTTCTATTCAATTAGTGATAATAATCAAATACGTCAAAAATTTGTTTTCTCTGCTACACTTATGTTACAACCAACAACAAACAATAATGAAAATAAAAAACAAAAAAAGAAGAAAAAAGAAGATAATCAAGATAAACTTGGTTTGTTTACAATATAATTCAATCTATCATTGAAATTTATCTATACTTGTTTTAGCTACATTAATTTCCGCTGTCGGAATGAATGCTAAACCTAAGATAATTGATTTAACAAAAAAATTCGGTACAGCTGAAACATTAACTGAAGCTTGTGTTAATTGTTCATTAGAAGATAAAGTTTGTTTTATCAAATTAAACGAAAAAGAAAAATTTGTTTTTTCTTGTTTTTCTTAGGATTTATATCTATATTATTTTCTAATATTATATCCCGGTCGAACATTAATATTTACAAATAGTATTGATTGTATAAAACGTTTGCAATCAATTTTAACATTGTTAAAAAGAAATCCATTACCATTACATGCACAAATGGAACAAAAACAACGTTTAACTAATCTAGAAAGATTTTCTAGTAAATAATTCTTAAAAGATTAGTCATAATAAAGTATTTTTTTGTTTTGAAATTAATAGATTCAACGAATGGTGTACTAGTTGCAACAGATGTTGCAGCACGTGGTTTGGATATTCCAAATATTAATCATATTATTCATTATCAAGTACCACGAACAACTGAAGTATAGAAAAATCTGAAGAAAATTTTTTAATAATTATTTATTTTTTTAGCTTTATATTCATCGTAGTGGTCGAACAGCTCGTGCTGAACGTCAAGGTTTGAGTGTAATGTTTATTTGTCCAGAAGAATTATTTCTCTATCGAAAAATAATTAAAACACTCAATCGAGGTTGGTGATAAAACAAAAAATCAAAATTTAATTATTTCTTATTTTTCTATCATCTTTAGATGAAGATCTTCAAACATTTCCTGTTGACGTAACATATTTATCAAATTTAAAACGACGTGTTCGTCTTGCATCTGAAATATCTAAACTTCATCATCAAGTTGCTAAAGTAGCAAATGAAAATAATTGGTATCATAAAGCAGCAAAAGAATTAGATATTGAATTGGACGATAATATTCGGTAAGAAGAAATCAATTTCGTCATATTTTATTATAATATATTTGAATAAATTATAGTGATGTTGAAAAAGCTAGAACAGCAAATTCAAAAGATATTCAAAAGAAAGAAATGGAATTACGTAATGAACTTGATTCATTATTGAGACAATCATTAAAATTTACATCAACATTCAATATTGGTGGTTCATATCCACTTCTATTTGGTGATCCTGATCAATTAGCATCAAAACGAAGTAAGAAGAAATTTTATTTGATTGATCGATTTTTATTTGTTTCTTTCTCGTTTAGAAATTGATATGACTGCATTAGATGAATTGAAACATCGATCATAATATGTCATTTTCTTGTGTTTCTGTTTCTCTCTCT